ATCCTGAATGGAGGTGGGATACGGTCACCCATTGATGAACAGAGCACTAATGGTACGTAAAATTACAAGATGAATGGCAACTTTATCAGCAGAAGGAATCAAGTGATGCCTGCCTGGACACAGTTTTAGTTATGGCCTTGTTCCAATGGGATTAGCACAGCGTTTGGAAGTGTTTTCAAACTTTCTCAAATGGTTATACATCATTAGAGCACAACTGCACTCAGGCTGACATTGATAGAAGTATCTAGCATTGTTTGTACACAATGCTTTTTATAATTTCCCTTTCTCTTTGCTGCCTTGGAATAAAGACCTCCTACTGTACAGGGTCATCCAGTATGGTTGCTGGGAGCCTTCTGTAGTCTGCTGTAGAGTAAGTAAATTCCGAGTTTTTCTGAATGCTAAGGTTTTAACACTCTTTATTTTCCTGATACCACATAAATGAAACCTGAAAACAAAAGCTTTTTCAGTTTACCTAAATCTTTCTGTAGGACTACTTCAGTAAATCTCAATCAATTGGAAAAATTGGCCTGACCTAGTAGGAAAAGCTGTGTTTCTTCATCTTAGGTTGGTAGTTTGTCATCTCTTTTAGTAGTATTGTTTGAATAGCAAAACATGCACTTAAATCAAACTCTGATTTATTGGTCTTGATACTTACTGGATGATAAAAGATGCAGGTTCTTTGATTGGGATATGATATATATGATTCTCACCTCTGCCTGCCCTCATTTTCTTAAATTGCATTTGTCATGTTCCTTGTCAAAAACTTACTGTTAAACAATTCTAAAATAATTCTGTAAACACATAAACAAACAAGCAAGAAGTAAACAAAGTCTCCTTCCCCCAGGTAGCATTACTGTGGAAGATTTGCTGTCTGTTTTGCCATTTGGAGGTCGTTTTGATATGGTAAGGGTAAAAGGCTCCACTCTGAAAGAAGCTTTTGAGCACAGTGTGCATAGATATGGAAGAGGGAGTGGAGAGCTGCTGCAGGTTGGAGGTATGTTTTCTTCTTTTCTCTTCTGGTTTTCCAAACCAGCTATCCCTCCTGTTAGCCTTGTTTATTACAGCTGGGAGCCTCTTTTTAAGAATGGAAGTCAAGCTGGCCATATATCTTAGCTCTGTGTCTTGTACATGCTGGCCAGCTAACACTGTTTATCCTGTGTATGTTTAACTGAGACACTGCAGCACACACTACAGGCCACCTCTGTTCCCTTCAGCAGAGACAGTGTTCCCAAGCTGGTTCCCGAACCCCTAATGACATCAGTTTAACACTGCAGTTAACTAGAGGAAGATATAATTTAGTGTAGCTTTAACACAGAAATAGCTACAACAAACTCCAGTTTTCAGTTCTTCACTGGCAGCCTACCTGAAACCCCAGACTGGATGGCTATGCCGGTTATTGCCAAATGTCAGTTTACCAAAATAATTTTGTGCAATTCTCTAATGATTGCTGACAGTTTCAGAGTTTGTCCAAGTGGCTATGGAATTGCTCCAGTGAATTACTAAATATTTTATGAATGACCAGTTAATATTAAAAACCTACTTATTTCTTGAATTGCAGCTCTCTGTATGTTTACCCAGATGTGTACCAGGCTACAGTCATATTTATTCCTGGTCTCTCTGTGATGCAATGTAGATTTTATTGTTTATATAACAGAAAAGCTAAACTTCAAGGGTAGGGGCCAATACATTCCCCCCAACCCCCAACCATGCCTCTCCCCCCACACAGGCCACTGATGGGGGCACTACCCCCACCATGTGATCTAGAACCCTCATGTGCCACAGACACAACCCATGTCTGGCACTCTCACCAGTAAGTTACCACATTTTTAGATACCACTAAGGTAAAGCAAGTTTTGCTTGCTGCCTCCTCACAGAAAGAGAGGACAATCAGTAGCTCTGGAAAGGGTTCAGGACAGAAGATCCAGAGCAGGAAGAGAGCCAGGGTTGGAAGAGCCTCTGTGCTTTGGATGAGCTTTAGTGGCTTCCTGATCTACAGATTCTTGGCAATGCTGATCTGGGGGCCTGGCTCTCCCCAAGCTTTGATCAAGGAAGGCTCACAACTAGAAATGTTGCTCCTCATACAGCGAGCAGAAACCGCAAAGTAAAGCCCTGGCCTGGCTTTCTATTTTCAGTACAGTACCCATTACCCATAACAGCCACCGAGTTAGGCTGGCTGGCTGGCTTTAAAAAAAGTAATTTCAGCCAACCAGCCAGGGGAATGAGAAAGCATGTGACTACAGAAATAAGGGAAGGTATTTTTATCTTGCAGTATCTTAATCCCATGACTAGTAATTTCCTTCTGTGGAGTAGTGATGAGAACAGACAAGTAACTGAGGTGAGACAGTGCTTCAGCAATTCTTATTCTCTTGAATTTTCTTGTATAAAAGTTGAGTAGTGTGCAAAGAAATAGGGCATTAACTGTAATTCAGAGCAATACAACCTCTCAGTCACAGAAACTAATGCAAAGAATCAGCTAAAGATGAGGGAGGGTGCTGCTTCTAGCCCTATATGTTCAATAGGCACTGCAAAAAGTGACATCCCAACGTGTATTTTTGTAGGCATCCATGTGGTCTATGATCTTTCCAGAGCCCCAGGAAGCAGAGTTGTTAGCTTAGAAGTGCTTTGCACAGCCTGCCGAGTCCCATCCTACATCCCACTCCACATGGATGAAATATACAATGTGACTCTTCCATCCTATATGTTATTTGGAGGAGACGGCTATCATATGCTGAAAGACAAAAATATGGGATACAGCAAAGGTAAGTGGGATGCAGTAATGGTCAGTATGGGCACTAATAGAGTAGCAGACAAACAATCCCCAAAAGTTAAAAGATCTTTCTATAGTATTGGTCTCAGACTTCTTGCCTTTACTGGATTAAATTTGCTTCTAATCTGACAGCTCTGGTTTTGGTTGTAGCCAGCAACTTTTTTAACTTTTTCAGTTAAATCACAAGTTTCAAAGTGAAACTAAGCCTTACCAATACAGCAGTGCTCAAAGAGCACTTCTAAGATCATGATAAACCACAAAAGAAGCAAAAAATGCACCATGGAGAATACATCTTATTGCGTACTGCTTTGTACTGCCTGTGCACTTGTACTCATTACTGAACAATGAATCAAAGAGAAAGGTTCTTTAGACCTTCAATTTCCACTGTATACAAGTATTCAAAAGACAGAATCATCACCTCTACTGCTGAAGGACACGCAGCTCAGGCGAGCAACACAGGGTGAGGGGAAAGATGACAACCTACTCTGCAGGAATTAGCCTGCCCATCCAGAATCACTGGGATTCTCGGGAGTCCTGCAGGCAGCAGTTTGCAAGGTGCTACAGACACCATGCCAGAGAGGCAAAAAGGAAGCGTTTTATAATGCTGTGTTAAGGTCCCCTAAAGTTGCATGTGAAGTGTTAGAAATTCAGCATTTGTACAACCGACATGTCCATCTTCAATAAAGACTAAACTAAAATGTTGAGATTACAAGAATGTAATGCTGTGTTAAAAAAACAAAACCAATGTTCTAAGATCACACCTACATTTTGCCAAACTTTAATTTTGTATGTCCTGCTTCTGGATGATAAAAACACACTTTTACTCCAAAAAATCTTCCTTTTGGACCTTTGTTGTAGACTAGTTTTTTATTTCTGCAGGTATTTCAATTTAAAATTGATTCTCACAGGTAGGACTGGTATTTTAAATCAAGTTCAGCCTACAGCTTGTAAATTTGGAGAGGCTGTAGTTTTCAGTAAATATCCATGGATGCAGAAATAAATACCCAGAGAGATAAATCATTAGGAGTAATGAAAGGGAACAACTTGTAAGGTTCTTGTAAACTCTTTCAGTATAGCAAGAGGGTAAAACTGTAACTATTGTTAAGACTGAGGACTCCACTTTAGGATTGTAAGAGCTTGGATCAGATGGGGCTTGCGACATTGCTGGCAGCAGCTACTGAAGAGGGTCTTCCACTGCAGAAACTCCACGTTATACTTTGTGTGCACACAGCAGCGCACAGACTAGAAATTCCTCCAAAAAAAGTAAAGTTAAATTTGAGAAGGTATAAGTGATAGCTTTGCCAAGTCTACAGCCCTCTACCCAAACAGGTAGGGCACTATCTCCATCTACCTAAAACTGACTGGAAATTAGCATTGTAACAGATACAAAACAAGACAGACAATGCAATGAGAAGTTTTTTGTTTGTTTGTATTTTGTAAAATACAAGTTGCTACCAAAAATTCTGGCTACAACCACCACAGATGATTTTCTGTGCATAAGAAACAACTCCCCACACCCCTACGCTGTCTCAATGTGTACTGATTAAGCATTGCAAGCCATAGAAAACAGTTTAAAACTTGAGCTAAAACTGCAATTTTAGACAGGTTCTTAAAGAACTCTTAAGAGCTTGGCTGCTGCAGAAAACACTTTTTTATATGTTTGTTTGTTTAGGTGAACCTGATATTGAGGTTGTTTCCCGCTACCTACAGAGAATGGAGAGAGTTTACCCAGCAGTTGAAGGTCGAATAAAGTTTTCTTCTGGAAGTCTTCACAAAGCAAGTCTTACCCTGATCTCTGCATTGTTCACTGCAACATTCTTGCACACTTGATTATTGCGCTCTCTGTTTTTGTTTGGAGGAAGAAAGGAGGAGAAATGATGCTGATGAATCAAAAAGAGAACTGTTCTCTTTCCTCTTTTCTTACACCTTACAATGAATGAGCAGTGAGGTTGCTGCATGTTAGCAGTAAGCAGCCCAATCCATTGTCTTTTATCTGGTAGTGCATCAAAGCACTCCGTGCAGAGCGAGGGGGGAGAATTCATGACTTTTCTTGGTTTGAATCAACAGGTACCTGCAATTCGGTTTGAGGTTTTAAGAAGCAAAGTGCCAGTGAATACCTACTGCTCAATCATAAAGCAATGACAAATTGTAATGGGGTATTTTTAAATTGTCAAATTCTTTTAGATGCCTTAGATAGTGAGTTAAGAACCTGATTCCAGTAATGCAAACAAACTTCTAGAAATGGATTTATTATAGGTGTATATTCCTTTCATTGATCTCCACTCAGGGTTAAGGTATTCAAACCTAATATTTCTACTTTGCTTCCAGTCATATTTATCATACCTACACCAATATCTGAAAGAGCTGGATTAAAGTCAGTGCCATTAAAATCATGAGGCCCATTTAACATGCAATTTTAAAAAAGTTTGTTTTACTTTTGAAGATGCACCATCTCACTTATGTTTTCCATTAATAAAGGATGCAATGAAAGCTTGATTTTGATAAATTTTAACAAATTGAGTATTCTTCATTCTTTATATGACCAGTTTGGGGACTGTGTCTAGAGCAAGAACACAATCTATGACTGTGTTTCATATAAATATGCTAGATTTTTTACCTTTTCCAAAAGAACAAAGCACAGGACTCCTGCCTCTTACTCTGTATCAGCAACATTCTCAGAGAATGTCAGATAGAGGCACTGACTCCTGCAGCACTGTGGCATCCTTTGGAAAAAGCTAGGTAATGGGACTTTCTACAGCATAACCTGTCTTTATGATAACTGTGGTTATACCTCAAAAGCCCATCTTTTCTATGGGAAGGCTGTGTTTAAAAAAATACAGTTGTAAATACAGGCTAATGAGTATGAAATCAAAAATCAGACTAAATGCTAAGTGTACACTTCTGATGCTTTATCAAGAAGTGATTGATTATAAATGAATGCAAACAACCATTATTTTTCTAAGTTCATTCACACTGGGATTTCTGCCATCAATGTGTTTTCATGTTGTTCAATGCTATTTTAAACTGATTATCAGTGTTTTAAATAAACCCGCTTTGTTTTTCTGGAAAGCTCACTACACTCTTTTTCAACCCTGAAGCTACTTGGCTCTTAAATTCACTGCATCTGCAGATTTCAAGGAGAAGGTGCACTAAGATAAACACTCAGTATATTTAAATTTCAAGATCTCATTCATTTCCACATACATTGAGAGGTTGTGCATGAAAAGCTCTGGACTACACAGCTGCAACACGACAACAAACGATGACTGACCTTTACACACTACTTCTTATGCCCTGGCATTGATGGTTTGCCGATATCAGCCCTTAAGAGTAGTTAATTTACAGAATGGTCTTACCCAAATCAACATAAAACCAGTAACAGAGAGGGCACTTATGGACCAAACTCTACCTGCGCACCAATTTTTAGAGTTGTAACAACTCCTTTGGCATAGCCAGAGAGAAGAGAAATAACAATTTTACCTTCCTTTGACAAAGAGAAGGAAAAGGTTTGCAGTAGTAATACAGACAGATAGCACAAACTGTGTTGACAAAGAACACCAACGCTGCATTAGATTGGTTGGTTTGTAGTGAAGGAGAAAATGGGTATTGTCTGAAAGTAAAAACTGAGGAATGCCTATTAAAGTATCGCTGTATTGTTCTGTGAGTAAAACTTGTTAAAAATCCACACACGAAAGTCCATTTCAAAGTCTCTTTTATAAAGGCTGGGCCAACAAATTAAGATTTACAGGAAAAATCTTCCACCCAATTTTATAGGAATAAATTTTTAAAAAAAGCTGTGAACACACTTGCATCCTGGGATGCCAGATGTCAGGTAATCCCAGGTAAGAAACTGCAGAAAAATAAAGGCTAAGGTAAAAGTCAAAACCACTTTTCACACCCATTATTACTTCAAGAATGCTTTAGATTTAAAGGTCATGTATTAAATAGACTAAATTACATGTTATTTTCCATGCTCACAGAGAGCATAAAGGTCAAAGATAGTTCTGAGATTATTTGTATGCAACAGATTCAATTCCATAATTTCGGTTTTCTAAAAAATAGTAAGATTTGTTAAAAGACAGTTAAAAATAACATAACGAGAGCATTCTACAGCTTCTTCCAAACATTTTTTCTACATATCCTTTAAGGAAGACATCTAGTAATTGCTCTTTTGGTAAAGCGTAAGTTGGCTGATCTCTGAGCCGCTTTATTTAATGTCATTCTGTAATTTCACACATGGAGAGATTTGGGGGAAATTAATTTGACTTTTACTGGTAACAGCTAAAACAAATTTTAAACAAAAAGTACAAATATTTTATTTACTTGCAACTGATATTAAATTTTTATGTCTTTATTGAATAAAGATATTTTTTAGAACTTAAATTTTATGTTATTTACAAGAAAATATACAAGGCAAGGTTAAAATGTCACATGTCCATTACAAAAGTGCACAGCAGATGCTACTGGGTGTCCAGCAAGGTCCCTTCACTCACATCCAACTTGACACAGAGCTCGTTTCCTTTGGACCCTGTTAAACAATAAGGACGAAAAAATTTACTTTCTAGGTTTGAAAACGCATATTTACACAGAAAAGACTGAATTGAGCTGCAATCATTAATGGTATTTGAAAACATCCACTTGAAACCAGAGTTAAGAGAAAGGACGGCTACTGGGTTTTAATACTATTTGTCAAAATAGGTATTTTCTTTTCCCTCTGGAAGTTCCACCTCTCCCACTCCTAACTGCTAAATACAGTTTTCTTAACAGAGTAGTTTTCTGCTCTGGAAATGGTAGTGGAGCGATGTTTTTTCAAGTGGATTTCTTTCCTTCCTCTGCTAGGAATGCTTCTCCCCTCTCAGCTGTCCTTTTCCTTGCATCCTGTCTGACGGGCTTCCAAGGGACTGCCTGCACATTGTATCAGTTTTTCGGCTCTTATCCTTCGACCTTGCTCACTTACACATGCTGCCATCAAACACATCAAGTGATCCAGCATGTATCCGCGCTGGTACGTGTAGCAGGAAATACCTTTGAGATACCAATCTCAAGAGTGGAAGCAGATGGACATCCCTGCTAATGACAATTTTCCCATTTCTCCCATCGCAGTTTTCTCTGCCAAAGGAGCAGTGCTTGAAACAAAACTTCCAGGATGCTCAGTTTTCCCTTTAAATGATGACTGACCTGAAATATTTTTTTGTTCTTCACTATAACTACAAACATACTTTGGCATGAAGCAACTCAAAAAGGACTAGTCTCTGCTGAATAGAGAGGACAGGCATTGATTTTCCCCCCCGCAATATAACAGATAGCTAAGTAAGAACCAGTCATTACTTTTAAACTTCCCTGTTACAATTGTTAGCAGGAGAAAATTCTCTTTCTAAATGGCTTTACAGTCTGTTTGAAGTGATTTTGGGGAAACATTTTCCAGGGCTCTAGATGAAAACCACTGCCACTCCTCCATCCATACCCTCTCCACCCTGCATTTCCCTTTTCCGTCCTGGTCCCACTGCCAAACATCACAGATGCAGCACTTTGTTCTGTGTTGCTCTCAGTACATCCGAAATAGGAAAACAGCTGAAGTTCCTAGTTGAAGTATTTTTCTTCCTTTCCTCTACTGAAATCTGGGCCAGTGATTCCCTTGCTCTGTTCCCACCAGCTTCAGGCATAAGGAAAGGGGAAGCCCAGCCCTCAACTCTGCTGTTTCACCAGGAGCAAAGGTGGTATTAAAGGTCCCTCTTCAGCAGGTGGTTATGAAACACTGCAGAGCAGTCAGGCAGTGTCACAGTTACACAGAAAAAAAGAATGGATTAAGAAGTACAAAACTTGATCTTGATTTGCATTAAATAGTCTTTTCTAGATTTGTTTTTGAAGAAAAAATATTTTACCTCGTTAAATATACACAGTTATGGAATCACAGCAGGGTTACGGTTGGAAGGTGCCTCTAGAGGTCACTTGGTCTAGACCTCAAGCAGAGCTACCTAGAGATGGTTGCCCAGGACCATGTCCAGACAGCTTCTGAACGTCTCCAAAGATGAACACTCCACAGTATACCCAGGGTAACCTGTGACAGTGCTTGGTCACCTTCACAGTGATAAAGTGTTTCCTGATGTTTAGAGGGAACCTCTTGTGTTTCAGTTTGTGCCTTTGCCTCTGGTCCAGTTACTGGGCACCACTGGTTCTGTCCTCTCTGTACCATACCCTCAGGGATTTACATAGATAAGATCCTCTGAGCTTTCTGTTCTCCAGGCTGAACAGTTCCCACCTCTCTCAGCCTCTTCTCATTGGAGAGATGCTCCAGTTCCTTCATCATCCTCATGGCCCTCCACTGAACTCTCTCCAGTATGTCCAGGTCTCTCTTGTACTGGGGAGCCCAGTCCTGCACACAATATTTCCAAATGTGGCCTCACCAGCACTGAGCAGAGGGGCAGAATCACCTTCCTCAACCTGCTGGTAACACTCCTGATGCAGCCCAGGATACTGTCAGTCTTCTGTTCAACTTTGTGTCTATCAGGACACCCTGGTCCTTTTCTGCAAAGCTGCTTTCCAGCTGCGTAGCCCCCAGCCCATCCTGGGGTTGTTCTTCCCCAGGAGCATGACTTTGCACTTCCCTTTGTCGAAGTTCCTGAGGTTCAGGAGGTTCCTGTCAGCCTGTTTCTCCAGCCTGTTTAGGTCCCTCTGGATAGCAGCAGGACCCTCTGGTGTATCAGCCACTCTTCCCAGTTGTGTGTCATCATCAGCCTGTCCCATCATCCAGAGCATTAATGAAGATGTTAAACAGGACTGGAGCCACAACAAATACCTCCCTAGGTACTGGCTTGCCTCCAATTAGACTTCATTCCATTGATCACCAGCCTCTGGGCCTGACCAGTGCTTTAAATGCCACTTGTTTTTTTCCATCATCAACTGATGAAAGACCAGTGTTCCTCTCTCTCTCTCTCTCTCTCTATATATATATATATACACACACATACACTATTAGCTGCTGTATCTATTACTGGACACAAAACCCCTTCAGCAGAGTAGAACAGCAAGTCTAAGGTCTTTTTTTCAGCACGCAAGTTTCCAGGCTACTTCCTTGTTCCCTTGGTCAGCTGGGAAACAAAGCTGGGAAACAAGCTCTTTTGCTTGTTTTTAACTGTCTGAACACTGGCATGAGGAGGGCAGCTACAAAGTAGGTCAAACATGCTGAGCCAGCCTCATTTCAGTGGAAACAATGGAAGGTGTCCTGGCTTGTTCCGATACCTAATATTTGTTTCTGTTTATCATGCAAAACAAATCACTGCTGGCACTTTGCAGTTTTCAGACACAGGGTTCATGCAACCAACATTTACTGTTAGTGAGGCATTTTTTTATTTGTTGGGTTGTTTGTTTTTTTTTCTGTCTAGCTAACTAGCAAATATCTCCTGCTTACTATGAAGACCAAACTGTAAAATTGCTATGTAAAACCCTGTAAAGGTTTGATATACATAAGTACAAATATGAGATGGATCCCAAACCTAGTGATATGCATTTATATAGCAATTTCTCTTGGGCAAATTCTGTCTCCTTTATCTGGAAAGTTGGAGTTAACATTGCAGTGACCAAACTAGGGCTAAGACACCCTCCTGCCAAACATTCTCAAGAAAAATGCTGCAGCTTGACATGAGCTCTGCATGCAGAATTCCCTTCCTGAATTGGGAAATGCACAAAATCGAGTGGAGACAAATCAGTCAAAGAGAAAAGCACAGAGATCTCGACCACTGATTGCTCTGTTGAATTCTACTTAAAGACAGCTCATACTTGCTGTATGCTAGACAAACGGCCCTGGGCTGATTTGGAAAGAGCTAATTAACAAAATGTAAGTAACCCAGATTCAAATACTAGAAAAACAAAGATTTCCCCCAAAATTTAAAATTATTATTACAAGGGAACAACAGCCAAAATACACCAGTGACCAGACTCAATAGCACCTAGAAGAATCCTGCAGTTCTTGAACAGAGTTAGCACATACCTTACTCAGCTCTGGAAAGAGTTCTAGAATCCCAATGTCCAGCAGAACATAGGTTAACTAAAAGAAAACAAATAAAACTAAGGACACTTCAAGGCAACACTACTGCTTTTTATTTTTAACTCTGAATTAGAGCCCACTCCTCTGCTATACCAAAAATTCACTTCAGGAAATCCTGTGCCAAAAGGCAAGTTTCTCACATGTTATGAGTTACCTGTTTGTTGAGCACTGGTTGCTGCAGTCCATCAAACAGAAGCCTGATGCCTTCATATTTAGCCTCTTCCCCAATGCACTTCCCTATTAAATCTAGACCAAATTCCAAAGCCAAAATATACAAGTCACGAGGAAGCACTGTAAAACAGCTGTATGATGCAATTATGGTAGTCCAGTAATTATTAACAAAAAACCCCCAGTTTAAATTAAATAAAGAGTTCAAGTTTTATCTATCTCAAATGGTAAATGGAAAAACAAACACACTTTTGGTTCATCTTTTTTTCCTCCCTTTTCTTCAGGGCTGCACACCTAAGTAATTATTACACTTTTTATAATATGAATCTATTGTCCTAATGCATGGTTTAATAAACCACAATCTGATTTTTTTAAAGTTACATTCTGATTAAATGGGCTTCTCTCCCCTCATCTATACAGTGTAAGGAGAGCTCAGATGTACCTTCTGGCTTCATGGTGTGCCTTTTTTAACCCATTTTTCATCTCGATAAAATACAAAACATAGGAACATTCTAAAGATGAAGAAATTATGATATTAAGTACATTTGTAAAGCTCTTCATTTCCATCAGCATGTCTTTATTAATTACTACGCTACAACTTAGTCAGCAACATTTAAATGACTAAACGAACTGCTGGTTTTTTACATCTAGTATTCTGATCAACTCAAATCTCAGCAGCCCAAGTATTATTTGATTTGGGAAGGTAATGTGACTGTATTTGGGTTATATATCTGCCTGAACAATTAACCACACTCATACAGACAGTCATGAAATAGAGAACCTGGAATGTATCTCATCATTTCTTCAAAAGTCTGCTTTGCTCGCCTCTGTTTATCCTGGAGAGAGCGAGGCTCAGTGTTCTCACAGAACACGGCATCTGCAGCAAAAACACATTGAAAAGAAGTCTTTAGGCAGCTACACATCACTGACATATAAATGTGTTTTGGATTGTGGCTTCAAAATTGAGTATCTTTTCTGTATGACCTTGACTGGAAGGAAATTCTAGCCCTGCCAGATCACAGTCTTTTGCTTACATTACCCTGATCAAATCCAGAATCCCTGCTCCTATGGAGGTCAATCATCTTTTCACAATTTGTTTCCATTCTTTTATAAATTTTAAAGCACTATCTTATAAGTTTGGATCAATTCTACTTTAGGTTAGTTATGATCTCCTAACTCACAATTTCCCTTACGCTTTCAAACATATAAGCAGTATTCACACTTTGTGCCAAAAACACTGTCTGGAACTGTCAAAAATTTCAGATTTACCTATGAACAAGAAAGCAAGAACCGCTGTTCATCAGAAATAACAGGTGCTCAGTTTTGGTTTTAGGCTCTGAAAGACTTACTCCTGTCTTTTTTTGTCTTTCAAAAGTTTTCCTTTTGGCTTGATAAGAACAGAGCTGCCTTAATGCCAGAGCTTCTGCAAGACTGTGGTATTTATTTAAATCAGACTGCACTCAGGTGGAGTTGCGTGGACATTTTTTAGATTTTTTTAACCTCTTTCCCCCTTCCTTATTCGAAGGTCAAGAACAGTCAAGCCCTCTCAAAAGCCCACGACAACAAAGGGGACAAATAAAAGAGAAACAATAAAGGACTGTGATGTAGCACAGAAGTGAAGTAACTTAAAAGACTGCATAAAACATTCATGCTGTGATACATTAAACAACCTTTATTTTGTTTTTGTTCCTTGCACAGCTTAGCAAATTACTACTCATAGTACTTTTTTCTGTAATCATCACTAACAGACAACATGGCTGACTCAGCATCTTTCCACAACGAGCTTTTGCAGTCTTTATAGGCACACTTGATTTTTAAAACTCCACTAGCTTAGTAAGCTTTGCAGAGTTTAGTACTTGGAAACTTCAAAGAAAGGATTTCAAATATCAAACTGAAGCAGTACTTTTACACCAAAGATTTAACTATTACTAACCTCTCAGCAGTGTTATCAGAGAAACCAACCGGTGCTCCTCAAATAGCTGTTCTAATTTGTAATGCAAGTAATAGTCTGTGTACAGTTCCAATGTATTTTTGAAGAGAATTCTTCCTCCCATCAAGAGATGATGCAGCCAGTCAGGAATGCGGAAAACTACCCTACCTGCAGTGTTACAGAGACATACATATATGAGGCTCTCCTGATACTCTTGACAAAGGAATCATTTATTCAAAAGTAAAAAACAATGATTGCAAGCAAGCAATATTTTAGTTTTGTTAGTGCAACGCTGAAAAAATTGGTATTCTCCACAGTGCTTATCAAATACTTCCTTTAGCTATTTTTATTAATTAAATCATTCCCATTCCCAGAGTGTATGAGCAGTCTAGGCACACCTGAGAAAAGCGAAGGGACCTACTCCCATAAGTTCATAATACTGAGATGCAGAAAGAAAGAGACATAACAAAACAATTAAGCAATAATGAATGATAAAAAAAAATGACATTCTCGCACCACAAGGAAGTCTTCTAAGGAATGACTGTGTCACTAAGTTGTATATTGATATGCTTGAAAGTGCTGAGCTATATATGAGTCCTACAATAGAATTTGATTTCTTACCAAAGAACATGAACTTCACATTTGGCATGAAGTATATGAATAATTAAGAGAAATCACTTCTTACCAACATACATTAGGTAGTCATAGACTCCTTCTACAGTCATCATTTCCATGAAGTAGTTCTGATTTTGTCGCCTTTCTGTATTCTCAGACCGGTTTGCATTATTCTTGAATAAATCATTAAAAAGCTAAAAATAGAAACATAAGACTGACATCATTTGCATTCAAAGGCAAAAGGATAGCAATCAGTCCTTTGGGTTGTTTTTTTAAAAAGAAGTAGCTTCTTTCCAGAGCTTTCAAAGAACTAATCACAGGCGTTGATTCGTTTCATTGTTTCTGGGTTTGTTTTTCTGAATTCTTCACTTTCCAATAAAGAGCATGTCACATGTTGCCAAGTTACACAACCAAAATACCTGGGTTCAGAACAAATCAGCAGGGTGTCTGAGACATTAATTCATGAGTCTTTTTGCTCCTGCTACCTTCTTCCAACCTAAACGATTCTGATCCTACGACACTGAAGTATTTCTAAAAGTTCCTGTTGGCTTCCATTTTGAAATAAATACAATGGTTTCTGGACAAAATATACAATTTTTTTTATGTACAGAAATACCTTTTCTCCCTGCCAGCTTGATTATTTACAGCAAAAACTTCATAAATCTTTTTAAGTTACTAAAGTTTGGGTTCCTTTACATTTATATAATTTCTCAATTAATATTCCTTTAGCCTTCTATTTTCCAATGTCATCACACCCCTCCCTGATCCCTCTATTTCCTTGTTTTTGGTTCTTTCTTAAAAGATATTATAATCCTCGCAATACCCCAAGAGGCTCTTCCCTGAACACCATAAGGGGTCCCATACCACCTAGGCAGTACTCCTTGCCCCCTCTGCCCTCAAGTCTGTGCATTCCAGCAGCTGTAAAGGAAAAACTCTTGGAATCCTGACACTTTTCATATTTAATACCTAGTAATCTCTATTAACAGTTTATTTTAAATTATCTTATCCTAAAAATAGTTGATCTAAAGATAAAATAGTATTTATACAAAATACTCTGTATTACAAAAATAAAGTTCAAAAGTTTATGCCAAGGTCCTAAAAAAAATATTCCAGAACTAGAAGCAAAGGTAACATAATCATAGCATTCCTGTGTTGAGATGATTGCCACTGTCACAGGTTTTTCTTTATCGCTCCCAAATTAAAATTAGTTCCAAAGAACAGGAAGTAATTTGCTTATATGTGGTTCACTTTCTGTACAGCAATTCTCCCTGAAATAAATAAAGCCATAAAACATGCAAATCACAAGCTCTGAATCATGCAAGTCTCTAAACAGAATGCTCTGCACTCTTAGGAAAAACTACATCAGGACATCTGGCAAGACTCAGGTTATGACCTGTACTTCTTCAGGCCCTCTCTTTTGTTAAGTGCTAAGCTGCTGGTATTATCTTCAGAAGGTTCACTCAAACTAAACAACACCAGGTTATTATATAAATTACATGAAAGGGCAAATATGGTTAATGCACTGGAGGATGACTGGTATCCAGGAACGCAACAAACCTACAAAGAACACGTAATTATTCACGCCTACTGTATGAAAGCGTCCCTGGTATGTTGTTTAAAAAACCCTGTATAAACTGAAGTCTATATCCTCCTCAATATTGAAAAAATCTAGCTGAATTACTGTAACTTAAACAAGAGCCTCCTTTATTTTTTAGATAGACCCCATGACCTGACAGAGGCAATACAGAGCCAACTCAAAGCAGCCCATTGTGCAATGTAGACATAGGTTCAGGAGTGTCTGGAGGCCAAGCTAAATCATTAACAGCAACTTGGTAGGTGACCTATAAAAAAAATCAAACGTGAAGGCCAGCTTAGGGCAAAGCTTTTTGACTTCCAAACGCTATTTCCACTTTCATCCCAAACCAGAAGCAGCATCTTTTGAATGATGCATGTATCTCTGCACATGGATAATCTGTCTTGCACCTTAAATGTAATGGTTCCTTGATCAGAGTCAAGCTTTGAAAGCTCTGACTCTTGCATGTGGCATTTCAGAACGTAACAGCAGTACAAGGCATGGCAAAACAGCTGAGCCAATGACCAGTTTTTATAAAGTACATTTTTTATACTATTCCAGTGAAAGTGAATATTCTATAGTCATTTTCAATGCACGGCAGCAGCCATAACACAAAGTGGTATTACATCTCTACTTCTACGTTTTGTGCTTTCCAGAATTTTGCTTCTGAGGAAATTCAAGTGAAAAATATAAAATTGGTTATCTAACACAAAAGTTGAGATTACATTCACAATTCAGATAAGCACAGGATTCTGCCTTGAATGTTTCTCTGCATGCTAATATTTGAGACTGGCAAGACAAGCCTCAATGCTATCATTATTCACAAGTATCTTTAAGATTAAATAGTAATTGCAATTATAACCATGAAATATCTTAAAAGTCGTTGGATGAGGAAATTCCATGAATTGGTATTGATTAATAATGGAGTCAAGCTCTTGAACAAGTGAAAGATATTAAGAAAAAGACCAAAGCAACCCCTTGTACAATAGGCTATCGCACCTTGATGGGAAAAACGAGGAAAGTAAGCATGAATGCTCACATAAAGTGCCTCACAGGAAAAAAAGAAGTTACGCAACGGTTAGCAAGCACATATGCAAACATGCACCCGTATACATTCCAGCACAGGTGAGGTGTATAAAAGCAATACCATGACTATGAACAATACCCACAGCCATCGGCATGAACCTCTCCCCTATTTTTCCTGCTCATTTGCAAAGTACAGAGGATTATAACAAAATGGTAAGAAGAAAGAATGTATGTAGTGCCTGAATCACATCAGTCAGCGTACGGAAAGGCAATCATGTCTTCCCCCAAGTAACTATGCATAAACATACATTATACTATCGGTGTTCCAAAAGCAGATTTTATTGCTGTTGGCAGGCCATCACAAGACAGCAGAACAATGCCTTTGTAGGTGTATTTTGCAAAGTCTGTATCACCTGAGAAGTTCTGACCTATTCTAGAAAGTATGACAAAAGTATCTTCAAAAGATGATCAAGCTTCTTACAGACCTTCTGAACAGAAACATGGCTGGGATAGCCAGAAACACTGTTAGTGCCTGTAGAAAGGGAGAATAGGGGTTTCTGTTTGCTTAGTTTTTTTTAACCAGGCAGTTGGTACCTCTTCCAATCTAGTGGATCTGATAAAGGATAAAATCCAATTGCTCCCAGCTGTACTATGGTTGACTATTCACATTCATTGTGTATTTTTAACAAGGAGTCTTTTCACCAATATTTAAAACACACAAACATACACAGGCACCAGGAATATTCAAAAGGAAGCAGCATGCAGAAAATCTGACAGAGCACTAACAAGATTTCTGACTGAACTCAAGCTTTCACCTGCCCTGACAGACCTTCAGGCGTTTCTTATTCAGCCTGCTGAGGTAGTCTGGGTGTACCCTACTCATAGCAACAGAGTTGGCAGCACCAGCACTGGGGAAATGTGCATTGTATTCTCAGCAGATTCCAACATGTTGAAACTGAAATAAAAAGATCTGCTTCAGATAAGGTATAGGAGAACACTGTGGCAATAAAAGCATCAGCTGGAAAGCGACTCTACCATTTACCAAAAAACTGAAGAACTTTCTTACTATGAGATAACATGCTTTTCTCACAGATGGGCACTCAAAAAGACCAAAACTTTTGTCTCTCTGGCTGTCTGCCAGATCCCCTCATTGACTCCATACAGGTAGTTCACACAGCCCTGGTAAAGACATCCACCTCCATCACCAGGAGTGAGGGTGCCTGGCTACTGCACAGCACTTATGTCAGAGAATCACAGAATGGTCTGGGTTGGAAGGGACCTTGAAGTTCATCTAGCTCAAACCCCCCTGACATGGGCAGGGACACCTTCCACTGCACCAGGTTGCTCCAACCTGCCATTTAACAATTCCAGGGATGGGGATTCCACAGCCTCTATGGGCAACCTGTTCCAGCATCTAACCACCCTCACAATGAAGAATTTTTTCCTAATATCTATTCTAAACCTACTGTCTTTCAGTTTGAAACTATTTCCCCTTGTCCTGTCACTAAACGCTCTTGTAAAAGCCTCTCTCCAGCTTTCCCTTCAGGAATTGGAAGGCCACACATCTTCACAAAGGTGTCATGTTCTACCAACAGAAGTGAACTGCAGAACTGAACAGGTAAAGTCTATGCCAAACATATCTGGGGAGTAGAGAGGGGTGCTACTCCAGCCTAGCTCTGGTCTGGCCTTTGAACTGAACACCCTTGGTGCCTGCATTCCTAGACAGAATTTTCCAGTTTAGTTTCATCTGAAGTAAATTCAGTTAATGAGTTCTAAGACAGCTTCCTAGTATGAGAAGAAGTGTGACACGCAGAGGTGATCAGGAGATTTACTTCCAAAAAGCATCATCAATACAAACTAAAGTGGTCTGGCAGATGAAACCAGTGTTGCTTAAAAATCAAATCCAGGAAGTGACAAGGTGTAAATGGCCCAGTGTCCTGGCACCCAGCACAAATCTTTTCCCACGTGTGGGCTGACTTGAGAAAGAGAAAACTATCTTCCAAAGAAGGCACGAGCACCCCAGCAAATCAGCAAGAGGGATGAATTTCAAATGTGCATGGGAAAACTCAGCAGAGACCATAACCCAGCACAACCTGGTTTATTAGATCTCTAATAATTACCATTAATTGTGTGAGTGTGTGCACCCTGGCTGAACTGATAGATGGCAAATTAATGAGAAAGTAGTCGGCACATGAATACCTCATGCATACTCGCCTCTGCTGGTTAAAATTAGTACTATAATTTGAGCACAGATATTCAGCATCTGATCACAGAACTGTCTTGCAGCCTCCCCCAAGGCAAAGTGTCTTGAGTGCCCATCACTAAATAATAATCACAGCTCTGCAGGAGATACACTGAAGTGTGAAAGTTTCTATCCATTTACAGCAAATGGCTCCCCAAAACAAAATAGATTTCTTCTGGGAAAGAAAAAAAAAATTAAAAAACATATGCAGAACCAATTATTCATGAAAGAGCTAATTAGAATAAAGGTGCTTAGAAAAACAGCGAACTCACTCTGACCACAGAAGGTGAGAAGGAATGGAGAGCTGGGGCTAGCCTCATCTTTTTTGCTCTGTGCAAAGAAACTCATATCCTGTGACAAGAGCATCTGCTACAGGCTAAGCAGCACTGCCAGCAACGACTTGGCCTCAGACTCTACAAACTTGTGTCTCCAATGAACTGCATACACGGCCACTTGGTCAGCAGTGATACAGAGGTTTCTCCCACAATGATATTTCTGAAAATGACACTATGTTTTGCTTAAGGAAACTTCAGTATTCCAAAAGAAAAGTTAAAGTACAGACAGCTCTTTGCTTTCCTGGGATCATCATGGTTGAAAAGCATTGGGAAAACCTTATTTCAGAGCCTGAATTTCCGTACACATGTTCTTTTACAAGAATAACATGCTGACGCTTCAAAGAATGTGTTTACATTTTAACTGAGCAATGCTTCAAAATGCAAAGCTGGTAGCTCAGGTATTTAAGTATGTTAAACATATTAAAACTGCTATCTTCTACAGTTCTTGTCAGATCACAATAAAAAATTATCTGATTGTTCGTCCTCTGCTGTAGTGTGCTGTCAGTTGTTTTATAAAGAACATTTGAATTATTTCTGCATGTACCCTGTTTCTAGCACAAGTCAAAAACTCTACATCCGATTTTTAAGACTGCTGATACATTTATACCCCTCTGAATAGAGAGCAATAGCAAAATATCTTAACCTTGGAAATAGTTTCCAAGGTGAGAAAGAACTTGAAATGAAGGATACTAATTTTGTGTATATGCACATGTAAGCTAACACTAAATATTGGCTGTAGTAATTCAGCCTTCATGTTCAGAAGATGAAACCCAAACAAATTAATAGATTTAACTGCTATTGAACTTAATCAGTATAAACATTTTGTGGCTGTAAATTCTGTAAGTGTCATAACACTATAAAAATGTCCATAGTGAAGGAGATCAAAAGGTCCATTTTTTCAACAGCCCATCACTACCAAGAACCATAAATGGATCCTGGGAACAATCATCCTAGACAGTACTTTTCACCAAATTCTTCCAGTCTCCAATTGTTTTCAACTAAAAAAAAAAGTTCAAGAGCTGGATTCAGTCTCTCTATAGGTATTCACCCTGAATACATTCCCTTTTTGTGAATTTGTCCTGTCTCACTGCATAGTTGTTTAACCTTCAAGTATTCACAAAATCTTTTTGCAAAGAGTTCCACAAATTTACTAACCATTGCAAGAGCTACCACTTTTTGTTTTGAACACAACTCCTACCACCTTCATTTAGCGCCTCTTAGTTTTTGCAGTAGAGAAGAGAGGGAAAGAAAATCCACCCCAATCTTTATCCCCTGTCCTCTCACGCTAAGCATTAGACTTCAGAGTATCATACATTTCCCACTTATCACTTTGCAAAATGAAGTGTCCCAGCTGACACTTAGTCATAGAAATATTTAGGTTGAAAAAGACCTCTAAGATCATTAAGCCCAACCGTTAACCCAACACTGCCAAGCCCAACACTAAACTATGTGCCACATCTACACATCTTTTACATACCCCTAGGGATGGTGACTCCATCACTTCCCTGGGTAGCCTCTTCCAATCCTTGACAACCCTTTCCAGCATGAGATTTTTTCCTGATGTCCAATCTAAACCTTCCCCGGAACAACATGAGGCCATTTTCTCTCCTCCTATCCCTTGTTACTTGGAAAAAGAGACTGGGACCTGTGTAGTCCAGTCTCATATGTAATTCAACTCCTCTTCCCAAGCAAATGAGATAGCAGGAAAGCACATACTACTGAGCTTTTCTTTAGAACCTCTCACATGGCGAAGTGTATGCACATTCCATATTTTGTCCTGAACCACAACAGCTCTGTAGCACTGAGTTTGGGTCTTTGAAATCTGAGACCAGAAACAATATTCCTCTCTAAATTCCACAAATACATGATCACTCTAATGCAGTCCAACACAGAAATATGAAGACTAGCATCTTTCTAAAGTCCCTGAAGCTAGCAGAAATCTTTACATTACGTTTTACCAGGTTCTAACTACAAATACAGGAAAACAAAGAAAGGAACTATCTTTACCTGCAGACAAGTAAAAGATTGAAACTGGTAAGTGCTAAACTTTCACTGTGCCAGTGTTAGAAAAAGTAACTATGCACGAAGTGATACAGTTAACCTATTAGGAATGTCAGACAAGGATGAACACTTGGAAGGCAGATAAACAGGTACCTTGACAATTTGGCTTGTAGCACTTCGACAAGTCACATTTTCATCAAACACTCAAGCTCTTCACTTTGAAAAGGAAGCTTCCTAAAGACACTAAAACATTCCCTGTTTTACACCTTTGCTTTCCCCCCTTCTTCTCCTCTCTGTACTTCACAGGCTCTCTACTTTGTTTCCTCATCTCCAAATATACCAAGATGTAAAAAACAACAGCAACAACAAAACTACAAAACTTGCCCACAACCCTCAAAAATCATACAAAGGTATTTATACATCAGAAGATGACAAAAGATCTCTCTGCTACTATTTTCTCTCTTGTATGAAATGGCAACACAAAATAGGTAAATTTTTATATTTATGAGAGGGTTTTTTGTTTATTCTTTCCATTTTCATGGTATGGTCAGTCTTCCCCACTCCTATGAAGTGGGAAAGGAACATGACTTACTATACCTTCTTATTATTTTCAGAAGTGGGACTCAAAATGGTAAGTTCAGGCCTACTTGGTTTAGGCTTGGGAGATTCACAGGAGTTGATAAAATTCATGATGAACGGCTCCAAATGCTGACCTTTCTGAAAAAAAAAGATATGACTGACCTGTCACTTGAATAATTATAGGAAAATGAAAACTAAACAACAAAAGCATTTTCAAACAAAGTGTTGAATAGCCTGTAAGTTAGTAATCTTGTAAAATTAGTTACTGAAGTTATTTAGTTATTATTATGTGGGCAACCTGAAAGAATTACTCACCTCTTTCATGAGTTTTCCTGGAACAGATTTTATGATTTTACCTATAATTAGAAATAAACAAAAACTTTGTTATCACTGTCTGATTTGAAAGACCTTTTTCTCTGCTACATTTTAAGTACTTACTGTCTAGTCATTACTTAAAAACACAATAATTTTTTAAAATCTGATTTTTTTTTTATTTGGCACAAAAAGCTAAGAAAATAGTCTTGTGCATAACCATCTTGTAACTTACTGCTTAGTATTCTTCAAGAAAAGATACTTAAAATATTAAAAATATACAGACTATTATCTGAGTACTTAAAAAAAGCTCTTGCAATAAAGTATTGTAAGTCTACCTTTTAATTTTTTAGAGGCTTAAACATAAATATCTATATATGCATATATATATTTATATACATGCATATATTTTTTTATATATATGTGGTATATATAAAAATAGCAGCATAACAGCAGTACTACTACAACAGCAGATACAGGTAAAATTCCCTGTCCTTAAGTTCTTCATAGAATCATAAACGTTCATCACAGAAGAAATCAAGATAACCAAGATTCTCCTCTTTCCATGAAAAGATCAGCTAATCTGGAGGGATTCTGAGGAGATCCAGCCTCAAAAACCCTTCTGAGTAAAATTTTATAAATTGGACAGGTTACAGCTGTGGCCTTAAAAATCAGCTCTTCTGTCCTGATAAGGCTATCAGGATATGGCACAGTAACTTGGAATACTGAAAAATGAAAGTGTCCAGGACTAGTTTTATTTTAAACATTACATTTACTGTAATACTTTTTTATCTACATGTCATTAAATTTGAAATTTACATCGGAAAGTATGTAAAATGATCAGATGATAATAATAAACACTGTCATCCTCATAAAAAGCCCTACTGAAATGCCAAGACTTGTTATAGTGCTGTTTATGGAAGTGAAGCACAGTGTCAGGCAGGAAATGCATTACAGTAAACACCATAAGTTTTTTTTAAACAATGTATGGTTGGATCTAGAAGAGAGGTCTGAAACAAAAACAAAACCTTTCAACTGGATGATGAAAAGCAAAATCTCATTCAACAACTCATAAAGCACATTAAGCCCCAGCAGGTTCACACCAGGAGTAGGAGATGCAGAAATGCAGTGACAGTTTGGCATGGCTTTTGGTACCATATGGCTTTTGGTACCACACCAGTGCCAGAACAATAAGTGGTACAAGACATGAGGTTGACCTCACCAGCTCAGGCCCACTACTCTGAGACAGCTACACTGCAGCCAAGCTGTAAAGTCACACTGCAGTCTACTTTTTTCATTTATTATGAACTCTTACATTAGATATCACAAATCTCGCAACTTCTCAATTTCCATTTGACCTGCCTATATCACACACACACACCACTGCCTCAAATCTATTAACTAGTTCATGTTAAAAAAGATCTTAACACTAGCTAAGACTAGAAATATCAAATATGGTAGCTTTCAGAATAAAATAAACAGATTTTAATGAACTAAAATCCAGCGACAGTTTTATATTAAAATTCTTCATACCGTCCCATCTGTAAACAATGACTGACTCATGCAGATTTGACTTGTGACAATACCGTAAATCTTCCTGAATGGTGAAATTTATTAATAGAAATCTTATCATCTTGCTTTCTGACACAAAAATTCAAAAGCAACCACAAACACCTTTCTTCATAATTTCAAAAAGATCTTTTTTCTTCAAGAAAGAAGTATCAGCATATCTTCCTTCCTGAGCTGTAATTTTAGGGGCTGTGAAGGAGCAGGGTTCTTATTTTCCACATCCACAAGAATTATCTGTTCATTACTACTATCATTCAGAGAATCACAGAACTCAATCACAGCATCCACAGTATTACTATTTGTCAGCATAAACAAGTAGTATATTACATACCAAGATTCACATCGGGCAACATTTTATCAAGAAACTGAGTCTCTCCTCCATTAGGGGACAGGAAATCAGCTAAAAGCTGGCTGTTACTCAGTTCTGGATGTTGTAGAAGTTTCTTTGAGACAGAACGAAATAGAGAAGTACTTTAGTCTCTAAAAATCAGTTTCTCTATAGCAAAAATATATTCAAAGAGCATTATATTGCCATAGATATCGTCATTTGCAATAGATTTCTGTTTTCAGTCACTTTAACAAGTTTTATTTGCCCAGCTGAACCCTTGGGCAAACTCTGTAACTGAAGTTCTTGGAAACAAACAAAAGAAGCAGATATTCTTTTACTAGTTTTGTATCGTTAGTTTCAGAATATTCTTTAGTCCAAATGTTTTTTTGATACCTGCAGATATTCCTGAAACTCCTCTCTCTTGGATTTTAAGAACTCATAGTTCTTGGGGCCAATGATTCGCTTTGAGGGAAGCTGAGCATCAGGAAACGTACCTAACAGAGATAAACTATTCTTGTAATGCAATAAACATTGGTTTCATTGTAACACATGATAATCATAAGGAATGATAATCACAGCAGGGGAAAAGCGGCTTTCCAGATGATGGAGAACATACCATGAAATTCTGTAAGCTTCGACTCAAGCACATAAAATTCCAGGTACCTCCTGTAGACAGACCAGTGTTCAGGTTCGTGTCCAACTGGGGAAAAAAAATTAAAAACCAGGTTTTATACCACCAGAGAGAAAAATTAGCAAAAGGAACCGTATGATGGATTATTACAGGAAAAATCTCAGTGACCTTAGTCCCCTATATTGTAGTAACAAACTTTAAGATACTTTTAGTGTTAAACTGAAATGCATAACTAGACAGATAGATATGGTAGACAGATATGGTACTAGCAAGGCAACTATCACATCATTTAGGGGATTCCTAAAATCTAAACAAGTAAGTGCTCCATAACTTCAAAATTTATGTGGGATGCTATGTTAGCTCTATTTTCAAACTTTTAACCAAATTATTTACAGAAATAGTACTTGTTGAATACAGTCCTCTGTATCATCAGCTTTAACATTGATCATTCTTAATCCTGGAAGATATCACTAAATAACACTTAAATACTTTCTGCTTATTGTGCTTATTATTAGTCTCACTAACACAAATCCACACAGCCTCTGGATGATGCTGTTTTCCCTCACTTCATATGGATATATTCTGTCTAGATACTGATAAATTAACTGCAAGCCAGGACAGTTCCTAATAAGCAAAACATTTTAATTTGCTAAGAACTATATTTTAAGGTTATATAAAAAGTTATTTATTTCTCATTATTCCAAAGTTCAGAGTAGGTGAAATAAAAATAAGCCAGGTGCCTGTTAATGTGAACTGTAGGATAAATATTTTTGGAAAGAGAACATCTCAAACTCTGGCAAAGAGCCTAAATAGAACTGATTCATGCTGAGGAATCAGTTCTCAACTTGCAAAAACGAAATGTGATCATTTATTTCTCAAACACATTTCCTCAGAACTTTCAAGCCATTATTTCAAAATCAGAACATATACGCAAAGCACACTGCAAGAGCTATCAGAGGAGAGCATGCTATAATAATTTTGAGTTCACTTTTAAATGACACTGTTTTTCCACAACATTGCATACCTGCCCTTCTATCATTTCTCTCTACATCAATGCAGAATACAGGAATTCTCTCCTTTCTGTCTTTTCTTTCCAGGGAGGGATCATCAAAAAAATCTACATATGGGATGCTAATTTTCCATGCAGCAAGGTTGCGGGGTGTGTTTGGGGTAGTGACAGCCTCCTCAGGAGAATCATCTTCCATCACCATAACGCCTTCTTCAATCTGTAAAGATTCAAACACAAAGATCTCTATTTTAAACACAAAGATTTCCATTTTAAACACACGGATTTTCTATTTTAACTGGTACAAGCGACCTCTCCAAAACTTCTATAAGGTAATGAAACATAAATCAAGTTTCAAGTATGTGTCACTAAGTAATAAAAGAAAGAAAAATAATTTCATTAACGGAGTTCCCATGTAGAATAATTTCTGGGTTTAGATCCGCTGCAAATTAATTTGAAATTAGCAACTTTTAGTGAGATCAGAAAATTTTTACAGTGCTATCAGGTTCCATAGATGATACTTCAGGAAGAGGGAGTACTAAAGGAGAGACAGCTGGAAGAAAAAAACCCAAATCTATCTAGAGTTCTAAGTTGTTGAGTGATCTCACCTTCCTCTGAAAACAATTCTGAACCAGGTGAATAATACAAACTCACATCTACACTTTTACCTTCAGGCTAATAAGCATGGGAAATAAGCTAGCAGTTTATCAAGGTGACGAACACTTAAATGTTTTGGTTGTTAGAACAGCTCAAAAGATTGAACTGACAGACACTCTGTAAAAAATACGTGGCTACCTACAGCTTCTGACCAATTCCTTCCTCTTGCCTTTTAAAATTTTCCATTTGTCCCCCAATTGTGCTTCAGATAACAATGTCCCATGCAATAAATTCTACCGTTGGCTCTACTCATGGCTGTTTACATGGAAGAAAAGCATTGAGGGAGACACTCAAGACAAATGAGAAAGGACTGCTGCTCCCGTCCTTCAGAGAAAAAGCTGCACAGACGAACTTGACAGCAATTTCTCCACTACTTTATGGTTTTAAGGTCTTGTAGCAAACTTCAGAAGAGCCACGTATGCAAAAATTCCTACAAAAATGTCTGACTGCTACTTTTAATAATTCTATGTACTAAGGCAATAAGCTCAGAGGTACACTAACTGGGAATGTGGCCTTGCCTTTGAATGAATATGGGGAATACAAAGCAATTTAATCAGAAGCCAGAACATGAAAACTCTGTAGTGAGGATGGTAGAAACTTAACATTTTCAAATAAAAAAGGAAAAAAACCAAACCACCCCAAATCAACAAAGACGCTTTTACTCACAAAGTCATCTTCTCCTTCGTTTAAGTTATAGTTCGGCAACATAGCTCCTTCCATTGCAGAACTCTTGAATACACCTTTTATTTTGTTCCCTATTTTGCTGATTCCAAATGATTCTCCTCTCTTCTGTGTGGTCCTAGAATCATATAAGCCACAGTTCACAACACAAGGCATATTATTACACAGCTGCTCAGTAGGCCATTGCACACCATTTGCAGATAAGACAAACAACTCTATAAACAAGTAGACAATATATTTACAGTTCCACTTAGGTTAAAATTTATTTATTTATAATTCTGTTCTCTGATCAATCAGTAAAATTTCTTGATTACACTTTTAAGAGAGATGGGATTTCCATATGTTTAACCACAAGAAAACTCTTGGAATAGTATCCTAGGAATTCAGGACACAGAATAAACAATTAGCTAGGTAAAACAACTTTGTTTTGACAGCAGAAACTGTGGTATTGCTACAGGCATGCACATCGAGAAGGTCATTAACTTTGTCCTTTTCCATGTACTCATATTTAAATATTTATCCACTCCTGCCAAGTACTTTAAATGCTGCAGTTAGATGAACTTTCTTAATGGAATTTTACAAACAGGTATCATTCAAGATAGATCTCAATTTTTAAGCAGTAAGGACAGACAAAAGGAATGTTCAAGGAGCAAGACTGAGCATGAGAGAAAACAGATGCAACTGAAGAATCCTGGCTTGAAGAGACAGTCTGACTGAAAGATGAAGACTTTGTAAAGTCTTGTCACTTATGACAAAGCATCCAAAAAGCAACAAAGAAAGTACAGAAAAAGAAAGGTACTTGGGTAGGAAGCACACTCCTTACAGAGAGAACAGATTTTGTAGCATTCTTATGCCTTACACGAGTCCTGACACTAAAGATTACTTCTTGCGTAGAAATACTAGTAATTCTGGAAAGAAAAAAGTTTCTGTCGAATATGGAATCAGCTGGTGGTTACTTAGGGTGATTCAATATATGCAGTTGACAGGCAAGTTAAAAATCGATGCAGTGAACTGCAGAATCAAAGATTCAGAAGAAATGTATAGACTGATATTAAAAACACAATTGGTACTTTGGAGGACAAAAAAATATCTTGTTTCTTTTTCCTTTAAACTGAACAGTAGTACAAACAGAACAGTAGTGATCAGCGGATAAAAAAACCTTCACTGCCTATAAAACCCTGCAGACAAGATCAACCACTGACTCCAAACATACGTGCGTGTTACTAATGATCTTCCTGTTTATAATTTTACACAGACTGTGTACTTGACTAAAATTGCGTAATTTCCAAATCTTTTGCTTTTTGTATCTCATATTATCATGAGCTCCAAAGCAGACTGGAACCATCTATCTTACTTATCTCTGTTATGCAAAGATAAGGTTGCTTGGCTGCTTGTAGTCTAAATCCATGCTTGAACAATTTTACTCAATTTTTAAACACCCTGTACTACACATTACCGTGCTGAACTGAACTGTTTCATGTTGCTACTTGACTCTTATTCAAGTGCTTCAACACTGGGTTAGAAAATACAAATCTCAATCAGACAAAACTAGTTTTTCTGGAAGGTTAACAATTGAAGACCTCTGTGTTGACTCTTAAAGGAAGTTTTCATCATTCCTGTGAAAACCTGTGCAATTCTCAAGAGCTTCAGCAAAAACATTAATTTGCACAAGCTCTGTGATTTGATAGGAGTACTCCAGGCTCAAAGCAGTTTTCCCACACTGATCATGCTCCATCTGAAGGCAGCATACACCTGTGCCTGTACTGAGCTGTATGGGGTCAGGACTCACCCTGACAGCTAGGAAACCAACACTTCAGCCCCAGTGCTGAGCCCAAAGATTACACCAAGTGAATAAAGAGCAATCACTGAACTGGACAAGTATAAAGTAACAAACTAGGATGGGATTCCCTTCACAGGAAGAGATAAACTCAGAACAAACACTGGTGAGTAAGAGGGTACACGGAAATTCTCCATATATGGAGAGAACATAGGAGTGGTTTGGTAAAAGTCCTTGAGCAAGCACACAGAGCACAAACCACATTAGATGAACATGCAAAAAATCTGTGGATGCTGGATATGGACAGACAGCAGGATGACTGACATTTTGAAGAAACGGAGTAAGAAAAAAAATATATACCAAAAGCAGGTATTAGGATGAAAATCTAATATATTCACTGGCTAAGCAGAAATAGGAGAAAGAACTTGATGCTAGGTAGGAGGAAAGAGATGGGACTAGGATGGGGCAGGCTCAAGACATGAGGGACCAAAGAGGACAGCAGGTAGCTAGTTTAGAATAGAGATTAGAATTTTTAAGACCTGTCAACTCTGCTACTGTCAACAAATATATATATACAAAACTCGCTGGAAAGAGTATCCCACTCCCTCTGGTGCTAATCCACGTAACAGCATTAGTAGATGGTCATTCTATAGTTTGCTTTCTTGGCAGGGTCCTCTGTGGAGAGCCTAAACGTTCCAACATTCCTGATGAATGTTGGAATATGATGACAACAAAATATTGGAATACTTTTTTTTTTTTAAACATTTCAGGAGTCACACATACCTAACATTAAAAAAATTAAAATTATTGTTCACTCTATAACTGGGAAATGCAGACCAAAGATTGCAGTACTGCCACTAAGCATATGGCATTCTTTAATCATGGATGGTTGCCAAACTATTTTCCCACAGGATACCTCCCTCATTCAGTGCATCAAACAGATCTTGGCAAGTGATGAGCCAGGGCTACACAGATGAAGAATGCTGTTGGGAGCCTCTCTGGGTCAAAAAGTACCAGACGAGTTGTATATACCAGATGGGCTAGATATTAATATGCATGTGAAATCAGAGTACCATTTCTTTTTGGCTGACTAAAACCCCTACACCCAATGAGGAGAAATGCTGAGCACATATTGCCACACTTGAAAAATCAATGAGCTGCATTTACATCTCAAGTACTCCTTATTGCTCAACAATCTAGCAAGTTATAACTCAACACACTGAACTGGAACATAAAATATAAAAGCATCTAATTACCTTGATTCCTAACCTGAAAAATGAAGTTGAAAGATACTCATACTAGTCTTGGATAGCGTGTATTTGAAGAGGCACAAATAATGAGAAAACAAACCACTGAACAGCTATTAAGGCATTATTAAGTGGTCACAGCCTACCTACAGCCAATTATAAAAAATTGCATATATTGTCATCAAACCTGTAACAGTTACAAGAGAAGCTGCAGAGAGAACTAATTTGGGGAACTGTTGTTTTTGAGTGCTTGATAATAATAATAAAATGGTTATATATGCATGCGATGTTAGACAACGATCACCCCGAATACAGCTGTGCAAGATAAAACAAGCACTTAAGTGGGTAAAATCTCAAACAGGATCTGGAAATATGACATGGAGTAAAGGAAATTTTGGGGCAGTTAGCAGTCACAGGCCAAAAAAAAAAAAGCTTCAAATATATTTCACAACAAACGACAATGGACGAACTGTTAACAGCAAACAATGTTAATGTATTGTAAACTCGTGAAATTAGTAATTAAGCAATTTCTAAACACTTGTGAAGAGGACATGGGGAGTAAAGCTTTTTGTGAGGAGAAATGCACTTTAGTCTAAAGAAGACATTCACATGTTTTTTTACATATAAAAGTTAACTACTGTTATAAAGGCTGTGTGATGAAGTCACAAGAGATGCAGCGTAACTAACACACATTGAGTGTTAGACTTACCGTAAGTCATCCAAACTCAGGCTACTTCTGCAACAACAGGCACATAAATTACCTCCAGAGCCCAGCAGAAAATAATGTTAAAATCAAAAAACAAGCCCACCAAAAAAAACCCAAAAACCAAACCAACCACATTTGAGATACCTATCCCAACAAAACTGAACCAGCTTTGACCATCACCATGGATTAACAAAAAAGGTGATACAATTAGGAGTTTCTGACCTAAAATCCTAAGAAAGTGAAATGTGAACAGTACCTGCACATTTCATCACCACAATCTTGGCCTTTGAATTTAAAACCTCAGTTACTAAAACTTTCAGGTCTTCACTGACATTCACAGAAGCAAATGACAATTTACAGATAACAACTTTCATTCTTTCAGCTATCTGTAATGCCAAACAGGCAGCTAACTTTTTCTATAACCTATGTTCAGAAGTCATGTAGGAATCTAGTTAATTTGGGCAATACAATGAAAAGGTCGTGGATTTATTTTATGTAATAATACACACCTCATACCCCCCCTTTGTATTAGATATAGTAAAAGCCACTATTAAAAATTAAATTATCTTTTTTCAATTTTTATTCCACAGATTTTACGAATTGTCATGTATTTTTGACATTCCACATAATCTGGTAACATTCTACATTAACATTGTCACCAAACATAGGATTTTAATTCTCCAGAGCTACTGAATTCTGGACAAACTGATAAGGGATTAAAATACTAAAATTTTAGATTTTGTTTTGCAGAAGGGTCTGATTGTAAGATATCTTACACTGTCTTTAGCCATGTTAACTGCAAAACTGGAAACATAACCTACCAAGTTAGAAATTATGGTGACTATTACACTGCATAGAACTGTTCACAGACTTAAATCCACAGGTTTTACTCCTAACCACTCCCTGAAATTGTTAGCATCTTTTCTACTTGTCCCTTTAAATTCAAGAACATTAATTTCATTGCTATCCCAATGATGAGAAATCAGCATGCATCTATTTCTATTTGTGGTCACAGCATGTAGAAAATCAAGACAGATATACAGCTATCCAGAATATGTGTGCTTATATTACGTGACAGTTTTTCTTTTTTCGTTAGACTTCCAACCCAGAATACCTTTAAGTAATGTAGTAATATATTATAAATACATAACCGTGAGAGGGGGAGAGGGAATACTTGCCGTCTCTCTCACTCTATCCAAATTAAGGCAACAGAACTGGACCTTAGAGCACCAGTTATCACTGGCCACACACATTAAACATCAGGTAGAAAACATTGTTATGGAATTAAAACTGTTGACAACTACAGCTAGTTATCAAGTTGTCAGAATATTCTCAACGTGAGTTCTTCAGATTCCAGAAACACTTGAGATTTCCCATCTATTGCCTTAGGAGTTTTCATAGCACACATTATTTGTCCTATCTGTATGCAAAAAGCTATGATTATTTTGTACAGTTCAAAGAAATGATTCAAACAAAAAATTACACAGTCACTTCTTCCTACCTTCCCACCAGTATTTTCTAGAAACTCCATAATTTTCTTGTCTTACAGCAAGTGAAATGTTTCAATACATTACTCACATGCACATTCCACCAGGATTTCATACCTACTCCTCGATTTGATTTTTTTCAACCAGCAGTATCTGTGCAATATACACACAGTACCCATATGAAAGCATCACAGATATGGGAAAAAAACCCTCATCTCTTTGCATGCAATTTCTTTCAAGTGGAAATAATAACAGAAAAGGGAAGAGAAGGCAGGACAAAGTGTATGGAATAACATCTGGAATAATTCCATGAGTATGGAATGTTATTTTGTTATGATGGAATTTCCCCCTCCTTGGCAGTGACTGTACCAAATTCTGCAGAGGGAAACTCCAAAGCAACAGGCAAACTACTTGCAGATAGGATCTGTGTTTCATGGAAATAATCACTGAAGTATCACTTCAGGAATATAATCTAGTATCATAAATAAGCATATATACTGAGGGCATTCTGATTGTTCCAAAATGTAAACCAGACACATTTTCACTAATGCTGTAACAGTCCCCAAATAAAATTCGCTTATTTTGTAGCCAGAGAAGTATTTCAAAAACTCCAGGTAGAGACTGCCTATAATTTCACCCTTTCTATTTTTAAAAGCAAAGCACCAAGGAAGCGACCTAAATGTTTTCATACTTCAACTAGATTTAAGAAGTGTATGATGGGATACTTCCAACCCCTGACATGAATAATTTTGGGAAAGAAACCAGAAAGCAGCTTTAAACGTCTAGATGAAACCCTGTAGCCATTTTCAACAGAAGGTGAAGTGTGTTTTAAGGTCACCATCCCTAGTGGAGTACCCTGTAGGAAAGAAATGCAGTTTAGTCTAGCTGCATTCCATGCCTCTTTGCTAAGAAACAGAAGCTTCCCAGCACCAGTGTGAGAAAGCACTGCACTAAAGCTCCAGTCCTGGATGTACAAGAACTACAAAGACTACATGAAGGACGTCACCAATGGAGATATATTAAAGAGAACAACCATGTAGTTTTTGAAGAACAGGAGCAGGGAAGAAAGATATGTCCCAGTAATACATCTCATGGTAGGTTGCAAACCAAGGGAGCTGCTGCTAGGTGTATCTCTATTGAAAGCACAAAAGGTAAAATAAATTGCTGTTACTCCTCTAGAGGAGTTTACCATCTAAGATTATAAACATATATAAGCATTTTCCGTTATACCACAGATCTTACTTCATACCAAGAAAGAAAGCCCATCCAAATTAAAGACTGAAGTTTTCCTTCTTTTGGCTAGGCCATAAGAGCAATTCAGTTGGGCTAGTCTATGACATTCAATATAAAATGAAAGACAAGAAATCATGAGACCTCAAGGTTTATCAACCCAGCCCCATAGTGGGAGATCATCCATCCACACCACAGGAGATGCTCTTCTCCACAGGCCCTAAGGAGCCTGAAGGAGGTCTGTAAGTACATAGCCCAAGCTCAGAAACAAGCTTTCTGACACTACATTTCTGCAATGGAGTTGGGGGATAGAAAGCACATTTCACCTGGGAGACATGGCAAATCCTCCTTGTCAAAAAATGAAGAGATTCTCATACAGGTTGGTTGTAAGCACCTGTCCCTTTAACATCTGAAATCCCAGAAGACCCAGCTTTGCACCACTAAAAAACTATTACATATATTCAGTCAACTAAACCACAACTATATTTCTACATTATCTTATTCTCACTGTACAATTATTCTCCCCTTCCCTCTTCTCAAATGCTGAGGTCTAAATCACATTTTAAATTCTTTATGTAAAACACTTCAAAGCAAAGAGATATCTTGTATAATATTGCTTGCTCCTTTAATATGTAATTTGTTCATTTAAAAACAAAAAAGCTGTGCTAAAAATTTAGTCAAATTAATATCAGGCAGTAGCAAAATTCCTATGGTTTAATATTCTGATGCTTTTAACTAACAACCAAAGAAAAACACTTAAAAACTCTACCATACGTACCTGTTAAACTTTGAATTGCGTGTTGGTGACTCTGCTCCTCTTAAAAGGTGTCTGAAGTACTATAGTAGACAAATAAGGTATCAAAGAAAACACTGGATTAATTGAAGTAAAGCCTACTATGCAACAACATTGCAAAATTTAGGAAACAAGAACAGAAGTAATAGGCAAGCTGACCATAATCACACAAATTGTTCTGTGATGTTGCACTGAACTAGAACAAATTCAGTTTTCCTACTGAGATTGGCCCAGCTCTGGAATGCTAACTGAAGTGGAAAATGAAGCCATATTTTTGAGTTCTACATATGCATGACTGTTGTAAACGGGGTTATCCTAAAAAAACACAATCTTGCTTTTAAGACTACCCTTCAAATCTTTCACACTTACCTCATCACTGTGACAGAACATTGGAGTAAAAACATTCTCAAGCAGAGAAAGTACATGCTCATAAGCTTCAAAAAGACACCGCATAGTTTGAAGTTTCACAACATCCATATATGGACCTTCAGCAACTATAAAAAAATTACAAGTATGAATAGAGAGGGATATATATACAGACATAAAAAGGTCATAGGTTTTTTTCCTGGTCTGAGCTTGTGATTACTTTGCAAGTTACTAAAAGTTTTACAAATAAAAAAATAGAAATAAACTGACAAATCAAGGATTAAGCACAGTATAGCAAGGGGATCATAATTTTTAAAACTGACGATAGTTAGCTAAATTTTTCTTCACTTTACTACAGAATGCTGCTTAAATTCCAATGTACATTATTCCTTTCAAATTCAAACTTACTTCTTTGAATTTCTTCCACTATGAAAGGGTCAAATCTAATTTTGTCAATGCTTTCATCCAAACAGTAAGTTTTGTAAATTTTCTGTACTTCCTCGTGAAGAGACATCTTTTCAGTATCTGACAGTTCTGGTCGCAAAATTCGGTCATTGAATTCCTCTGGGAAGTAAAGGAAAGAAAAAGCATTTCTTGATCAATTTGGCGAACAAATATCATCTTGAAGAACCCTAAAATATCATCTCATCTTCAAGCAGACAGAGCAATTTGTAAAACTTCAAAGTTAATAGAAGCACAAGGCAGTTCAAAATCTTAGGTAATAAGGTAGCTGCCTTCTTATTAACTATAATTCAGATTTGTTAATAAAATTACTAAAAATACATTGCAATTAAACCAAATTATTCCTTATCACAGCAAGCATAAATCCATTAAGACATTCTGGCATAAAAATGAATCAGAATAATGATTTTTTTCTTCCTGAATTACCAAATTGAAAATTGTAGTTTTCTTTTAGCATAATTTCCAGTTCATGCTAAATGCACACACATACAGAGGTCCAACAGCCCTTTATACTAATCATCTGCCCATCTGCCTATTCTGCTATTTCATTCCTAAGACCTAATCCATTGTAATAATTTCCATATATTTATTACTGTGCAATTCTACTTGATTTTTTTTATTATTTTCCTCAGTAAGTGCTTCTTACCCAAAATATATCTATCAAGTGAAAAACCATCTACCGTAGACAATTTGGGACAGCATAGCTGGAGGCCCCTAAACCTCATTCTTTTGTTTTATAAGATAAGACACAGATTTGCCACCTATGAGAATGCAAGAGAAGTTTACAAGGAAGAAAATGCTGAGGTTTGCCCAGAAAAAGATTGATCATGGCAACAGAGTAAACTCACTGCTAAAGGATTATGGGCACATAAGAAGCACAGAGATTATCTGTATTTCTCTTCTGCAATGATTAATGATTTCTGCAGTATTTTATGAGATTAAGTGTGTCTAAATTAATTTCAAATCTTCCCACTATATGTATGTGCTTGGGATAAAAAGGCACATCCATTATGTCCTATGAAACATGAAAATACCTATTTACCAAAACCAAAAAGCAACATTATTTTGGTAAGCCAGTAATTATTTGTTGTCCAAAAAACTTGAAATAATCCACTCAAATTTGTAGAAGCTTCACAGAAAATCTTTTCATTGGAAAGTAGAAGGCTTTTCAAACAACACCTGTGCAATGCTAAAACCAAACATATGCCTCATAACCAAGGTACAGGTTACTGAATAAAACGTTTCAACACCTTTAATGTTATGTTTCTGTTCTTTACAGAAATCAGAATTTTACAGCTAAATGAACATGAGAAGCTTTTAATGCTGAACATCTCATTTTAGAAATACTTTAGTAACCACGTATCAAAAAAAAGGCAGTTGTACTTTGTATCAGTTGCCAGAATTTTTTTTCTTAAAATATTCTATTTTAAAGTGGGTAACTTTTATCAATAAAGAGAAATACACTTAAGCCCTACAGTCCACATCAACATCAATGTTGCCAAGATTAGCACTGAAGAACTGGGACACATTAAAGTAAGTGAACACAGATTCTGAAAGGTAATCTTTTGCTAAATAATGCTGCTGAGTTCTGAGACTAAATATTCACTTCAACCTGCAAATGCTTAACGATAATCGAACAACTTGAGCACACGTATGCAATCTTACCTACAGTCAGGCAGAACTGCAGCACATGTACTGCCCCTTCCTGTTTCAGGAAGTTCATAAACCGAAATAAAAGGTCTTGTTGATCTCTGATCTCCTTTAGCTCCAGTTTCAGTACCTGAGTAAGTTAAAAATGCAGTCAGCCAATTTTCAAACTTTCAGAGAGTACATAAATAATACAAAGAGTTGTAGAACAAAAACAGCAGGTAAAGCAAAACACTTATTCAAAACAGGAAAGGAAATAAATGTTGCCCTTGCTTACAGATGGTTTTTTATTTCTTGGCTCCGCAAATTTCTGAAGGAATGGAACCAGTGAAGAAGTAGGTTCAGTTGCTATCTCAGGCTGCAGAAAAAAAATTACAATTGTTAAGAAAGCTTCCTTAACAGGTGAACAAATCGCTACTCTTTAACTTTGTCAGTACTTACTGGACTATCATCAATGAAGATCAGCAGCAAATGGTTGACAGTGTCCTGCAGGAAAACACAATATAAAATTAATATTAAAGAAACTCAACAAAATAGATGAAAATCATTTCAATACTATGTTATACCCCAGTTTAAGTCTATGACTATATTTAATACTTTTTAAAAAGTAAAGTCTGGAAACACATGTCTGAGAATCGACCTTCAGTGGTCTCTTAAAGGTTTTACAAGTCAGGGAATTTCTGAAGAGACCTGCACAGAAACATTCTTTACCAGCGGAAGAAAGCTCTACAAAGTACTTTTACTGTAAGCACAGATCTAATGAACTAATACTTCCACAGCTACAGTACTTTCTGTTTGCAGCTAGGTGATGCCTGCGTGAGTATTGCAATTTTGCCTACTAAAATACATGCATAAACAAAATCAAAGATGGGAGTGTTCCATCTTTAGAATTAAATGCCCTTTTATTGGCAGAATTAAGGACAAAAGTATTGATTTCAATATAGTTGCAAAAAAGTTTGTTTCACTCAGACTGCTATAAAGATCTACATAACTATAGTTCAAGTACTCCAGCCCTTGTTTAAATATAGCAACAGCAATTTGAAGATGTTTACACTAGCACAGCATTCTCCCATTTAACAGGAGTTGCAGCCCTTCATTAAAAATACATTCTTAAGAGATCACACCAATACTGTTATTTTAGTCAGTTCAGTGAGTTAAATACTCAAACCAGTTACATGAACAAACAAAACCATTGGCCACAAGATTCCTTTATCTTTTATGCAGTCAAAATGCACAGCAAGTAAATCATTCTGCATCATTTGCTTTACCCACAACGTACTTAGTAGGAAAACAGTAATACTGAATAAATTAACATTATTTTTGTGCTCCAAAGTCTTACAGGATCAGCTAAGAAATCCATCGAGGGGAGGAAAACAGAACCAGGAAGAATCTCTCTTATCAGAAGAGCCAGGGATCTGGAAAGAAAAGAAAATAAAAATCCAAACCAGTATGAGATTACATAGTTTTCTAAGTGAAGTTTCCAATGCTGTTATATACTACTGGGAAATATTTTAGGATTAAATAATATCGTAAGCATGCTATTTTAAAGACAAATCAAAAAAATCATAAACAAAGGGATAAGAAGGAGGGATGAGGAGAATCACTTTGGAGTTCATTTTTTCACTTCACAAAGTTACTGTACTACATAATATGGAGATACTTTAAAAAATACAATTCTAAATAAATTCTATACCTGCACTCTGTTGACTTTGGGGGCAAAATATAAGGAAAAAGAAGTTCAGTAAGTTTTCTTAAGTAGTGAAGTTCATCTCTTCGGCTTCTCAAAGCAACATGGAGTTCTGGTCCATATTCTTCTAAAGCAGCCTGCTGCAAAAATTCTGCATTTTTTACTGAAAGTAAAAAACAGTATTACAAGTAGTTTCAGCTTTTTCTTACTGTGAAACAAAAGGCAATTGCTTTCCATTTGAGCTAAAAAGTAAATAGTACATATACAACTGCCAAAGGGATAAAATGTTGAAACTTTTCGAAAGAACCTTGGCTTAGACTTTGAAGCCTGAGTATGTAAAAATAAATCCTCACACTAAAATAAGAATTCCTTCACCAAACAATTGCAGTTTGCATGGTATCCAGAATGCTTACTCATCTATAATTATCAAAAAACTCATTTTCAGCTGCTCTTTCACACATCAGCCCTTAGGAAACAAGTCTTTTCCTTTAAAACACTGAAGAAAATGGCTATGTTTTCAATGCTGTACATTTAAAATACAGTTCTTTGCTGCTAAAGAAAAATGTTTCCCACTCCTTGGTAGAAATCAAAGGAAACATGAAATTTGGCGTAAACAGCACCACCAGATTATCTAGTAGTATCTCGTCATTGTTGTGTCATGAAAGATATCCAACATAATTACGCTACGTCTCATTATTCATGTTATTCATTACCCACTACTCACAGGACCAATAGCATATATTTATGGATATCAAGCAGAAGTTTTGAGGGAAGGAAGAAAAGTTCATGACTCCAGTTAAAGTAAACATCTATGCTTAAAAGTTGAATGAAACCACATTTAGTAGATACAGCATTGTGGAACACAGCCAGTGAAAAAAATGAAGATAACAACAGCAAGTGTTTTCACATATTCCTTCAACGTGCAGTTTTAATACAATTTTTACATTAGACTTGTAAAGATACTTTGACTTGGATAATAATTAAATATACTACTGGTCAAAGTCTCTCCATGGCTTACAAACATGAACCTAACTTTTCAAGATACTGATCAACTCCACTAATGCAGATGTGAAATCATTCTATCTATGAGTCAGAGTTACAGTACAGTGCACAGACGTACAAATCCTTTCATCTGTAACTGCTCATCTGGAATATAAAGGGAAAACTTCAATGGTAAATGATCTTGAATGCTCTAAATAGACAAAAACACATTCCTGTTTACCATAAAGAGACAGAAATTTACTATTTTCAATGTGGGGAAATAAAACTCAAAACAGAGAGTACAAATATGTACTGCAACTTTTTCCCTGTCTTTGCAATCATCGGAAGAAAAATGCAAGAGGATCACTATTTTATTTTAAAAGAAGGCATAAGGATGAAAAGATGTAGCAATATAATCAATCTCAAACATGCATAAAGAAACATTCAAACTTGCCCTTTGAAACCGACAATGTATTAGGTCTTTACCTTTTTGCCTGGCCTTGGCTATCACTTCAATGTGTTTCATTGCTGCCTTGAGCATCTTCTTTGTTACAACGGTTGGAATATCCACCTAAAGAACAGTTTAAAAATAAAACCAAAATTGTTCTATTTTTTCCTCAAAATTTATTACAGACAACTAGCATAATAATAATAATTATTATTATTACAGACAACAAACATAATAATTTGCTTCTATGTCCCCATTCTAAGCAAAGAACAAATCATCAAGAAACAATTCATGAATTCTCTAGATGAACTGACAGTATGCTCATTCTTCTGGGCAAAGCACGTAACAGCTTGCAGAACTAAATGCCATAAATGACACTGTTAACATATTTATTGTCAACTCATTCCTATTACAATTCTTCCATTGCTATACACACAGTGTGATTTCCACGTCACAGTATATGAAGCCTAGTTCTGTGTGAAGATTTGACCACCAACAAAAGCAACAAGTTAACTATGCTCTGCTTCTAGTACTTCTGTACCTTAACATTGTGCAATTGTGTCCACAAGGACTAAAAGCGAAGAGAAACCCTCCTACACATGCAGAAAAAATGTCACACCTCAGGTGATGGCAGAACCAAAAGATAATTTGAGTTACAGAGTTAGGATGACCATTGCTGCCAACAATGATACCAATGTGATCATAAGCCAAAAAACATGTATGATTTAATCAAGGATTGTATTACGGTCCTGCATTTAAATTTTCTTTGATGGCTAAGAAAAAGAAAGGAGAATTATAGATCAAGTCAGGCACAAATGGACCTTGGGATTTCTTAGCCCTACTCCAAGCAGGCTCTGATTAGGGTGCTCAGGGCTCTATCAATCCTAGTGCTGACAACCTCCAGGGATGAAGACAGTCACCTCCTCCAGCCCCAATCATCTTGGTGGCTCCTTGGTTGAACCTGCTCTGCTCTCTTGTAAAGAGGAGCCCAAAACTGGATCAACATCCTAGATATCATCCAAAGAGCATCAAATAAAGCCAGATAATCACTTTCCTTGACTGACTGTCTCTGCTCCTGTTAATACAGCCCACGATGCTGTTGGCATCATCAGCTGCCACTGACAGCTCATATTCAGCTCACAGCCTACCATGGGCACCAGGTCCTTTGCAGCAAGCAGAGCTTCTCTCGGCAGCCAGTCAGTTCCCAGCCTGTACAGCTTCAAGGGATTTTTCCTTATCCACTGCAGCAGTTTTCACAGAAACTCATCTAGAAATGGATTTACACTTTGCATGCTCTTTATTTTAAGCAAAAGGCATCTCAGAGATGTAAAAACATACTCTTGTAAATGTTCAAAATCTAAGACTTTTGAATAAGTTTCTTTCCTAATGGAATTTGTCCCTCCTCCATACAGCATAAAAGTGCTTCTTACCAGAAAAGGAAGGAGACAGTGCAATTCCAAAGGCCTCCAGAGCTGAGAGAAAAGCTGGGGTTTTATTCAATTGTACAAGGAGAATATTACATATTCCTGCACATTCCCCTGTAATATTTGAGGTGAACAGCTTTGATCTGGCCTGGCCAGCCCATACAAGCCAGTACAATTGATTAGAACTGCCTAAAAGTAAGGTCAACCTCCTATTTACAAGCAGGAAAGGAGGAACTTCTGCTTATCAATGGAAAATCCCTGTCTGTTGTGCCTCACATTTCAACAGTAATTTCTATAAGTCAAGAGTCTCCTACGGAACATAGGGATAGGGCAGTGTTTACTCCTGCAGAAGTAAGTCAAAGAGCACAGCAAGCAAATTATTATCGACACTGCAGTAGACACTGAGGACATTTGACAAAAGCTTCAATCAGACACGGGGCTACCTATATCACACCGTACAAAGGGAAACCCTTTCCTTTCCCTTTGAAATCCATAACCAACCCAGAAACGGCCACAACAAGGAAAACCCAGATTTGAATTATTTCAGTATACACTTAAGAGCTGACTGGTCTAAGGTGCTTGTTACCTCATTCAACAACCATGCCTCAAAAAAATCCACCTAGGCAGTTTTAAACAGAAAACAAAAGCATGCGTTTCACTGAAGCAACCCATAATTTTACATCTCAATTCAGAAGCAGATTTTTTGGCAAAAAAAAAAAAATAACCTAAAAAGAGGAAAAACAGACTGTTTTTTCTTTCACAATTCTTCCTTGATTTCAACACTTCATCTCTATTAGCTAGAACTATTGCTTACAAGCATTTAGTAATAAATCCACATCAAACTATAGCTGCTTAGCAAAGGTATATAACTATTTTATTTTGCAACTGGTGATGAATTTCTCCTCAAATGAGGCTATAAAGGACAGTGTATCAGAGCTGAAAGGCTATATAACATTGCCATAACCCTTCTGAGCTAACTACTGAAGCTTTAAACTAGGAATTCTGAAATGACACAAAGTTGGTACTTTATTTGCAACTTGCCTATCAACTCTAGTTTCTACTCACAACATTTTTCGTAGTATATGCAGCACAACTGTTAATTGAAGCTGTCTGAATCTGTATGTGGGTGTGTGCATAAACAAAAACAATTACGCAGCAGGAAAAAAGCATGAGCTGAAAAATATAGCATAGCATGAGACACCACGCTCCCCTGCATAGCTAAGCATGCCAAGTTTCAATTTTGTTCCAAAATACAAAGTTTCCATGAGTATATTTTTGCTTGAGGTATCCATACCACTTCACACAAAGAGACATTCTGTGGAATGCATACAAATAAATTTAATGATTTGTAAAGAACAATGCATTTCTGCAATTATTTTGTAGGTCCCCGGACAGTGCTTAATACTTGCACATATCTTGAGTTTTTGTAGCGCATATACAATACCAATATACATAGTATTGAAGATATTACATTTAAATCATTACTGTCAAAGGCAGCATGGTAAATTAACACTGTACTTAAAGAAGCTGTAGCTGATCTAACACTATTAATACCTTATTACATAATTTTCTGAGTCAACAACAGATCCACAAACAGTGTAACTAATACAGGCATGTACTACAACTCCAAACCAAATTTTAAGACCCTGGTCCAAATTTTCACTTTGAAAGATCTACTCCACTTCCACAACTGCATACACTATCTTTGCTACACAGACATTTCCTGATCTTCTCTCATGTTCACTTTGAAAAGCAACATGCCTGAGTTAGAGTAAACAAGAAAGTCATCTGGATTTGATATATAACAATGACAAAATCAAGCTGTTAATCAATTATGACAGTACATGTACAACTTGTAGCTCAGGAAATATTGCTGTTACTAGGGTGGGGGAAAAAAGACACACATTTACAGTAGTGGTTCCAACAGATGGGCCAGTACTGAATAATTCTGGAAACTCAGTTACCAATTCTTATTGCTTAGAACAACCAAAAAGTCAGAAGCAGTTTGGGTAAAACAGAGTTGAAGCACTTTACCAGAAAAGAGAATGTATGTGTTAATAGATTAAACACAGCAAACAAAAACTTTTGTATTCAGGATGTTTCTTAAGAATTGCATTAATATAAGAACGATATCTGTTTTCATTCTTCTAGTAAGCTGTTCACCTAATGACAGTCTATTCTTTATAGACAACATAAGGATCTTATCTGCATTTTAATAAGTCAAGCAAGCAGAAGCTACAAGACAGGTACACTGCTAACCATTTTCTAATCAGTCTTTTTCAATAATTTTCAAAATTGTTTTCACTTGCATTAAGTCACTAAAAGAGAGCTAAAAGATCATCACAAGGTCTTAAAAATGCCTTGCCCTGGTGTAAGAAGTATACCCATTTTCAAGAACTGGAGAATGGTTTGGGTTGCAAGGGACCTTCACAGATCACTTATTCCAACCCCCTGCCATGGCAGGGACATCTTTCACTGGAACAGATTTGTCAAAGCCATGTCCAAATGGATGTTGAGCACTTCCAATGATGAATCTTCAGAGATGGCTTACAACCAGGAATGGGACAAGCTCCAGAAGGAGGGAGCAGATACCACAAAGACATAACTTAGGTGGTTAGAAGTTGTCAACACTGTAAGACTGACTTTGAAATCACCATTTAAAAAAATTAAAGAACTCAGTACAGATAGATGATGGAATGATGATTACTTCTGATGGAAAAACCAACATGGAAACCTTTAAGTTGCCTTACCTTGTGAATTCTTCGAACTAACACGGATGCAAAAAACCGCAGTGTGCCTCTCAGTTCATCCACTGAGGATTCATCATCAGTAATATTTCTGCAGTGTTGTAAAGCACGCCATGTAAGAAAACAGAATAAAATACATTTTTATTAATCCAACCACAAAAGATTCGGCACTAATAAAAGCAGTTTCTGCATATGTAAACACATCTTTATTCAGTGGCATAAAGGAAACTGAATTGAAATTATTTAAAGTGGTTTCTGCTTGGAAACAAAGAAGAATTTAAATGGTTCACCTTTCAGGATCATTTTGTCAAAATATCATCTGAACTTTTTATGCAGCCAGTTTCCATATGCTGCAATAATGTATGATCAGTGACAAATCACGGCAAAAATAATTCAAAGCTGATTAAGGAAGAAAAATACCTAACTCCATGACTTTTTTTGGGAAACTGAATGAAAACGAGAAATACGCTGAGTCTTAGATGCAGAAAATGCAACTAAACAGAGTGGAAAAAAAGACCAGATAACAGCATTCCACAAAATGCAAGTGAAAATCCAAAAATCTACCAGCAATTAACATGAACATTAGAGTAGGACTGAAGATACCGGTGAAACTGCAGTATAACAGCTATTAACAGCTGAGTAATGACACAACAAAGAAAGTCACATCCAGTTTTACTTAATGACCGTATGCAAGAATCATCACATTTTTTGGTAATGACTGCATATGTAGTAAGTACAAATATTATCTGCTTAAAAAGTCACCACAATAAAAACTAGGACATTAAAAATTTTTTAAAAATATACACAAAACATCATTTTACTTTATTCAGCATCCAATTTTTTAAAGCAGTGTTAGGCTGGGTTATTTAGCATTCAAATACATGTTGAAGATTAACTGTTAGGTACAGATACCAGTGACCTGACAGTCAAACTATGCAACTAATTGCATGAAAAGACACCTCAAAGAAAGCAGTCTGGCATAAGAAACACAACCATCCTCCAACAGCTAATCATATGCAGATAAGAATACTGTAGGGGAAAGTCTGGTTTGCTTTAAGATCAACAGCTGACATTTTAGAAGCAACATGGTTAGCACTGTCAAAGGGATTAGCACCACCAAGGGATTAGCAAACAAACTGTATTACTATATTACCAGTATTTGACAGACAACAAGATACATGAAGTAATTTGGACTAAAAAGTTGATATTTTATTGACACTTGGATAACCAGTATCTTGGCTGACTCTACTTGGACATGACTTTATGTCACGTACTCTCACAACGTGCCATAGGTTTCCAAAGACTTTCTTTTAATCACCAGCAAACTAAAGATTGGTGAAAAAAACAACATGAACCTGTAAAACCTCAAATCTCTAGTGACACAGAGGAAGGTCCAAAGAACTTGTTTGGAAACATTTTAAAAATTGGCTGCATTTTCCCAGAACTTTAGAAATATTTAAAAACACAGCTGTCAATGCAGCGGAGAGATGTGCTAAAAGAAAAGGTATCAATCTTAATTGTAAACAGTTACAGAGTCTAATGCCTCAGGAGAGATACATCCAACTGCTATTGCATGCAAAGTCTTACAGGATCTACTCATAAATGAAAGTCATATATAAATACTGAAGCGATTTTTTTTTCTCTGTGTGCCAATTATTCTTACAAAATTTGGCTAACTCATATCAAAAAGATGTAGAAAATAAGTTGCAAGCTAGTAAAAATGTAAAGCTATGGTTTGTAACTCCACAAAAATTCGGAGGTTTTCTTGCATTACTTGCATTTAAAATATAAAGAGCTCCACATATGAAAACACTAGGTTTAGTCACTATCAAATAAAAATGTTTTCATAGTAATGTGTTACAAAAATGTGGTAATTACTGAGTTCTATCCTAATCTGAAAGAAGTGGAGTTGCAATAGCATCAATGACCAAAAAATTCACTAAGCATAGAATGACTCTTTCAAACTTGACACTCTCCTATTTAAAATGAGGTTGGTATTAGCAAGATATTATGGAGTCTTACTGTATAACATGGAGCATAAACAATAAACTCAGACCAGTGTTTTGTAGTTCTACAAACTTGGATTACTATGTTCTATTCCTCTCAAAGAGTTGAAAAAAATTCTTAAAACAAATATTTAAATATAACCAGTATGAATACTTTGACAAATACCAAACAAAAATGCACAGAGGTATAACCACCTGTTTCAGTAGAGTTCACTGGATTTTAAGTACTAATTCTCACTCCCCTAAAGTGATCCAACAAGTGATGCAACATAGGTTTCTGGTAAACATTACACTTGCCAGGCTTCTGAGTGAGATGTATCCTGGTAACGCTGATGCCACTGATGCCAAGAGAGTGCTAGGTGCTGCAAGACAGCACCAGTTGGCACAGCACCAAAAATACCCACCATATATATATATATATATTTATATTAAAAAAAAAAAGGTAGCTTCTGCACAAATTCCATTCATGTGAAAGGGGGACAATTAGCATAAGGAATTATGCCCAGACTTTTTTGCAAGGGAAAGCAGTAAACTGTTTTACCAGCTGAAAAGTATGAATTGCCTGATGGTGGTTACCCAACTGCACTGCTAAATAAGGATAGTCTGGATGCAAAGGCTTCTGATTTGGCTCTGTGAAGAATTATGCTGAGTCAGAGAGGTTTGTTAGCTCAGAAAAAACATGTCCTGAATGCAAGAGTCCTTTGTCCTGGGTGAGCCAAGCTTTGCAAACAGTGCAGGTACTGCTAAGCAGAAAAATTCAGAACTGACATGCTCTACAAGCCAGATCTCAAACAGTGGCACACAGACACACAGTTCAGGCCTCCCTGCACAACTGTTGCTGGAAACACCGCAGCACAGAAACACCAGAACATCTAAATGAAACAGGACCAGATCTGACATTACTACTGGTAAACTGAAACCAGTAAGCCTTTCAGGACCAAGTTGTTTCCTCTAGAATTAGTCGGATATCACTGCACTCACTATAGCTCACTGAACTCCCAATACTTCAGGTTCATGGGAAGCTTAGTAGGTTTAATCAGCACAGTGTGATTTTATGTAGCTAGCTCAAAATCTGGAGGTGCAGCCAGGCAAAACTAAAGACAGTGCAGAAACACCTGTGTGGGTCACCAGAGGGTAAGATGTAGCAGAATCCAGGAGGATTGGCTCCATATCTAGTCTATTTTACACTGCACTTCTAACTGTGTAGATTACTACTCCACCAGATGATGTATTCCAGATTTCCACTGTCTTGGGTGTCAGAGAGGTAAGTAATTGGTGGAAGCCAAGTCTCCTTCTCAGTCCGTAACAAAGACATTGAAGACACCTTCCACCAGCCAAGAAAAAACTATTTTCAAATTATGAAATACAGAAGATGGCTGCCTCACATTTGTTACTTTATCAAACAACTCAGTTTTCAAATACAGTTTTCTGTACTTGAAAGTTTAAAACCTTGAGGTTTCCAGCTTGAAGATTCACATACACGGTGCTAAAGCTCCCTCTGCTGTTTGTATTAGCAGTGAAATTTTACACTTCGGCACATTCATCACACCAAGGTAGAAGTGAGGCATGCAGGTATTGGCCACGATCAAAAAACCAAAGAGGCAAGTAAGTCTGCCCAGAAAATTTTAGATCCCAGAAAAATTTAGATCCCAGGAAAAAAAAATGTAAAATAAAAGAAAGTATATATTTTTTTTAGCACAAACTGAACATTTCCATCCAATGAAAAAGTCACATTCCGAATTAAGGCAAGATGTTGTTTTAACACATTAATCCCAGCATGACCAATTAGAAGTATTTTAATATCTTCTTACAAAGTACTGCAAAGCATTAATTACAAAGGTACAAGGAAAAAATCCCTCAAAATAAAACCCCCCAGAAAAATAATTAGCCATAGTCTTTTCTTTATTCACTATTTTAAAGCTATTTACACAGTACTATTCTATTCAGCCAACATAACCACCCAGTCTTAAAACTCAGGAAATCACCAGATGATCTCCAAAAACTTGGCCACAGGTATTCAAAATACCTTTTCTATATTGATTAGAGGCGGAATTTTTGTCTTTTTAAAAACCTTGTGAAGTACTTTATTTTTTAAAGCAATATGATAGATCAGTATGCTTCTAATCTGGAAGTAAATTTCAGAGGGGGGGGGAAGGGTTTGAGTTTTTACAGAGATTTTAATCAATCCATACTTGCTTCCAAGTGAGAGTTATTAGAAAATGAACATGTAAAAGTAAACACTACGAAAGGGTTTTTAGAATGAAATACAAATTTTAGATGCACTTCTAACATACCTAAATTGTTAAAAGATCTGTTCTACTCTGCTAAGAGACAAAAAAATGATGAAACTGTAGCACTCACAAGTATGCTTTATATTTCACTAAAGAACGGGAATATTTATTTTCAGGTGACTATTTCTTAAAAAGGCTGACAAATATTTATCATATTAAAAAATAGTAAGTTTTAGGTAAAGCTCCTACCTGTACCATGGATAAATAAAGTTTTCCAGCACCAACTCAAGCACCTGTGCAGAACAAAGACAACCATGGTTCAAAATGAACAGTTTACTACAAATCCCTGTTAGAAGAGTTAAAACCACAAACACCTTCCAAAACTCACAGAGTGTAATTCATACATCATAAAACTTTAACATATAAATGTGTAAGTTGCGATTTTATTGTGAAATCAACTACTTTGCATCATAATCAGAACTTTGGGCAAATAGCAACAAAGTGATGGTTTCATCAGATATCAAGAAGAAACATCTACCACTAGTACTATCAGTAACATGAAGCACAGTGCCATGGCTGCCGTCAGGCAAATGCTATGAAACACGTAATCTTACCTCAAACAGCCCTTCCCTAATTTTTCAGATCAGTACCCGTTCTTTTCTGATGTAGCATAGAGTGTCCCTCAGGCACAGTTACCCATCCTACACTAACACATCTCCACTCTTTTTCATCCAAACCTCTACCTTTTTCAGCTCTCTCCCACCCTCAGTGTAGGACAAGTCAATCCTGTATGCTCACTGCTCAAAGAAAGCAAAAGAAGGGTCATAAAAAGCAATTCCTATGAAAGTCATCTGCCTTTCTCCATATCCTGTATCACAGCTTTTGACAAAGCCTGTCTTATGATCCAGTCATCACCTGAAGTCCTAATCAGAGCATTTTTCAAAGTCCTTATCCTACATGCATCCTCATGGTTTTCCTTATCCTACATGCATCCTCATGGTTTCCCTCCATCCTGTTCCTAGACCCTGTATATCCCACCTACATGGATCTCTGTAGATAAATCTTTTCCAACCTTTCCATCAAACCTGTTCAACACAGGTCAAGCCTGTGGTTGCCTTTTCCATGACAGAAAAACCTGGGTTTATCAGGAAGAATCACAATTATTGCAATCACGTCACAGGCATGCCCTGGTTCAGCTTGGTTTTCAATGTGACAGAAGAAAGGGGCAGAAGAGGTGACAGTCCCTGTTCAACCAACAGGTTGCCACCACCACATACACCAGGTGTACTGGTGTACTGTACAGGTGTACAGGTGTACTGCTCACAGGATTGCAGCTTTGACACCTCTCCTTACATCTACACACAAGCTTCAAGTACCGGTTACAGTCCTTGCACCATGATTAGTAAAATGAAAACTCTACAAGGGAAGGAAAATCATTAGACAGTGCGAAGGAAAAAAAAACATGAGGAAGCAGAGGGAAGGATGAAATTTTCTTGAGATTTCCCCTCCTTCACTATAACCCCAAGATATCGCCCACACTACCTTCTCCCCTTGCAACCTACCCCTTAATCTGAATCACTGCTTTAGAGATCAGTTTGTCCCCAGCAGTAACAATGCTGATCAGGGTAGTAAGACAGAATATACGTGTTGCTATGTGAGGTTCCTGTGCCACATTCTATAGAAGGAAAGGTTCTGCAAAGCCACTGTGTACAGAGAAAAATGTAAAATCTGTTTGAAAGAAAAGCTGATATACAAGTGTCATTTATGAGAATAAGTGTTACTGTTCTTACAAGATCTGCTGTTGCACTCATTCACACAGTATGCACCGCAAAAATTCAAGACTTTCTAAATTTATGCTACCTTTAGGGCACTACATGACTCTGCTTCTCTCACGATTATAAAAGCACACCCCAGCCTTTATAATCACTCTCAATTCTTCAGACTTGAGTAGCTCATGAAAGAATACTCTTTTTCTGTCTTCACTATTAAGAATATCACCTACTCAAATTTGATAAGACACTCTCTTTTTTCCAGTTGTTCCATTTCATTGTTCCTCCCTCTTTCTAGAGAAATGTTTTCCAGCTTGGGATAACTTCAGATATCTGTGTTGTGGACCACACAAAGTCATCAACGCCTTTCGTCCTATATGCTATATTATCCTATATTATGTGCTATGGCAGTAATAGATCTTGAAGCTGTAATACCATCACGTGTTAATGACAGATGGCTAAGTGAAATGTTGTGTCATGTTGTCCTGTGTCATCCTCCCCCTGCCCAATCTCATATTTCCATTAAAAGCAGAGTGGAAAGGTGGGGGGAGATGACAACCTTCTTTGGAAGTTAATCTTCAGACAACAGGAAGGAGATCACATCCAGCTCCAGTCAGCAATCACAGGCCACTAGCCTTAAGAACACATTAGGCCACTCAAATGAATTTCCCTGATGCTTTCCATAGCACTGCCAGTACATCAGCCACCAATTTACTCCACACAAATCTCAGTCTCGCAGGTATTGCAATAATATTTTTGTTCATGCAGAGTTTCTAACAAAATAAACCTCTTTCAGGGCTCAAAATGCAGACTCTTTAAAAAATGTACCCTACAAATGCAAAGGCCTGCAAAAAAATCCATACTATGCATGTATGTATTAAAGGAGCCCTTTTCTTTCTTCCTCCACTTTTGCTCTGTGCCTCCCCCTCAGGAGCAACAGCAGCAGAGCATCTTCTGTTTGGAGCAGAAAGTGCACTTGAACAGCCCTCAAGCACAAGACTGTACTCTAATGGAATACAGTGCACTCATCTTGAAACAGCTTTCTTCATCCACGACCACTGCTTTGGAACTGAAAGCCTGTCCATCAAGCTTTACACGCATGTGTCATTGCAATTTCAGTTCATCAGCTTCCAACATAACTTACTGGCCCTCTCTTCCCCTGCAGTTCAGAGGCCTCTGAAGCCACTAGCAGAATTGTTCCCAACAGTGAGAGATCTCATCCTTAGTGCCAGCTATGCAAAACACACGTGGTTGAGATTCATCTTCCCATGGTTATTAAATAAGCAAGAAAAATAAAACAAGCTCACGACCCTTCCCACTCTGGACAAAGTCTCCTTGAGAGAGGAGATGTTTGTAGTAACTGAGTTCTAGCTGAACCATTTTACAGACTTGCCAGTGTTTCTCTTCCACATCCACACTGTAAGGGCAGGTTTTATGGTACTGCTTTCACAAGGACAAGGCCATGCAGATAATCCCACTAGAGAAAGACCCAGAGACAGCATGCACAGAAATAGACAACTAACTCAAAATGCACTTGGAGTCCACCTATCCCCGGTCATGATATCAGAAGGCAAGACACGTTCTATTAGAACTCACGCTATCTATATGGTCTTAAAAAAAATGTGTGGACACACAGAAAGCAGCCCCTCTTTGCACATTTACTAAACACATGGCATGGCAGAAGCAGTTATGTATAATGTTCCATTGCACCAAGGTGCTGTACAGAAGTTAAAAGAGAGTTACGGAGTGAAATCACCCTGACTGCAAAATACAAGCACTCAAGGAATAATAAGCCACTGACTGCCACTAACTGGATTTCAAGGCATGTAGTCCATACTGTTTTCCCTTGAGCATTCCAGACGCTATCAGTGCGATTCTGTAAGACAGAAAAAAACCTGTCACGTTATCCAGTGCACTTTCATAAAGCATTGGGAAAGCAGGACACGTGCACCCACTTCAATTCTAGCAACACCAACAATATTATTCAAGCTCAATTGCTCATACTACACCATGCCAATAAAGTAGATGGGACATCTCTAAGAATGACAGCTAATGATAAGCCATTTCCCTGTCTGTAAATTATTACTCTCAAGTTTTAAATATAAATGATGAGTCATTTCATTTAAAGCCAACCTATTTTCAAGCATTTTACAAAATTACTGTTTCTGCTTTGCGTGGGCAGCTTTGAACTGGAAAGACAGAACAAGTGTAAAAGCAAATGCAGCAGGTAACAATATACGCAGCAGCTGCAGTAAAAAAAGAGAAATTATTTTCTAGAATGCCCTGCAACATTGCAAGCTAGTCAGTCTTTCCTGCTGAGACAAGCTTTCTGGGGACTGCCATACAACTGACCCCAGCTATCAGGAGGCGGAACTGTAGAGCAGAGTGATGACTGAGTCAGTAGCAGGTCAAAACTACCAGGCCAAATTAGAGTGGGAAGGAGCAATAAACCACAATGACAATTATAAATCCTTAAAAGGCAGTCCAACTAGATAGCTGAGACCACTTCCTGATAGTAGAACAAGCCATTCCCAACAAGAAAGTATGCAGCCCATTGTGCTGCTACAAGAGGTCAGGAATGGCAAAGAGCACGTTCAGACAGTAACTGATTTCTTGTCTTGCATTTGTCCATTTCTATCTTTTAGAAAAGAAAAAAAAATTCTAGTCCCATAATCGAGTCAAGAACCTGACAAGCTAAGAATATAAAAAAAAAAAAAAAAATAAAAATTGTGAAATAAAAGACAGCAGCACCTTGACCCAGTAGGGCATTTATTTCATGATGCCAATCAAGAGTAGCTGAGCAACTTTCCACAGATTTTACTACAAACATCCCTCACACAGCAACAATAAGATTGTAAGGAAAAAAGATGACTTCATTAACAGAACAACAGAATTAAATTCTCCTCTATGCAATCTGCAGCACCTGGACTATACAAAACATAAAACTGACCAACAGAGATCATGTCCTTATTCAAAAAGAAAGAAAACATTGAAGAAACTAACATAACGCAAAATGGATTAGAAACTGGAAACAAAATTACACTTAGGTCATTGCATTATTTTTGTGCAGGGTACAGCCCATGCTATACAATATTGGTAGATGCATGGTTGAGACAGTTTAGAGTTCAACTGCGGAGGAGGAACATCTAAGCACAGGTTTTTCTTATTCTTCTAAACCACGTACAGCAGCTAGATAGCCTAAAGGTTGCAAAAGATTAAGAATTTGCAAAGTGCGACAAACTGCCATCAAAATTCAAAGGAGAAAAAAATCCATACTTGTGAGAAAAACCTGGATTTCTTCTGATTTGAGTGTGTACTAAGTTATTCTGAAAGCACTTCAAAATACAAGCTTAAAGGTTATACAACTGGTTCAAATTAGAAACATTTGGAAATGAGAATATTGCCTAAATTCTTCAACCTACAAAAGAAGAACTAGAAAAACTAATACATAATAAAAAAATCCCAGAATTATTCCAAGTATTTGAAGAATCTGCTTTTTAAAAGCAGGCTGCAGTGGGCACTCCTTCAGAATCTAATTAATCCTAATTCAGTTCACGCTGTATCAGCTTCTCTCTAATGTATGACTAACCCACAAAAGAAAATAAGAGCAGTCTCTCCTTCCAACCTGAAGCAGGCTATCTAATTCCAGGTCAGCACTGCATACTGCATCCTCGGAGCAGACGGCCAAGAGGAATACAGTGTGGGCAGAACCCTTGCTATCCTTTTAACCAGTAGAGAAGAGCTGCAGTGAGGAACAATGCAATGAGATTTCTCATTCCAAACAGTATCTGCCATACACAGCTGATAATGGTGGCTCAGACTGCTTTTTATGGTACATTGAAGAGGATTATCCTGGTTCTCTGCCCTGGGGAAGGCACAGAACTCTGGTCTGGTACTTCCCTCTAGTTAAGCACACAAAGATAAAGGGATGAGAAACACAGCATAGATACACAAAAACCACGTCTACAGTGCTAAATAAAAAGGGCTAATAAATAAAAAGTGCTAATAAAGCAGGGTCTGGGACATGCCACCTAAGTATGAAGTAACAATAAAGAAAAGCTCACTGCTTTGGTAAAGGCAGAATTACAGCAACAGCAATCAAATACAAAATGCCAAGGTGTAGCAATACATTTTAAAGATCAGTCTTAGATGACAAGTACGGTTATCTACTCATATCCTTTATGAATAAGATACTACAAAGAACCTCTTTAGCATTAAATTCCCATTTAAGCTAAAGAGGAAAATTTCCAGTTATTCAGCATTTTACCACATCCTTTGGTACACTGTCACATCTATTTGGTACCCAAAATTCTAAAAATGTTACATGCACAGAACTGTTTACTTTATATTTCATTATTCAAGTAAGAGCCTATTGAAATGGTATTCAGCAATACTGTCATTTTAATACACTTAAACTTATTTTAAAAAAGTAATAGATTAAGTCACTTAAAAGAATAAATGGTCACTTCTGAAATGGCAGAGGAAGTCACTTCATTAAACTAAAGGAAGTCAGCAAGTTGCTATATGTTCTTTTTTAAAAGCATTCCTCAACTGTCCATCCTCCCTTCCTTCAAGGTTTTTATTCTTCTTCTATTTCTGCAGTGGTCCGTGCCTGAGACTCCACCAGGCAGAGCTGAACTAAAGTGACAGCTTATATCACAAGCACATATAGCTTTGACTCCAAAAACCATGTTGTTAATTGCAAGGACTGACATGCAAAAATCTTATTGCTTCTAGCGTGCTAAATGTTCATCCTCCTGCCACAGAACTCCAAAGCTGGAATTCTAAATAAATGGATATTAAGGGACAATAAGTGCTTGTGTATTTTCCTAGCTTCAAAAAACAACTAAAGCTTACTTGTTTAGCTGCCAGTATAGTCCATCAATTACTAATCAAGGGGAAAAAGCCCCCAAACACACGCCCAAAGAAAAACTGCTCTTTCAGATAGCTTCTTTTTAAGAGATTAGAACAAAATAAAATTCCTGATTTACAGTCTTATTAAAAATATACCTATGCTGTTCTTCCTTGAGTAAATCCACTAATTTCTTTTTTTAGACAGATTTTGTTACTGCTTTGCCTAATCATTTTGAATAAATGGACAGAATCACAGAATGGTCTGGTCTGAAAGGGACCCTAAAGATCATCTAGTTCCAACCTCCCTGTCATGGGCAGGAACACCTGCCCACCGCTACGCGAGGTTGTTAAGAGCTCCACCCATCCGGGCCTTAAAACACCTCCAGGGATGGGGCATCTCCAGCTTCTGAGGGCAGCCTGTTCCAGTGCCTCACCACCCTCACAGTAAAGAATTTCTTCCTAATATCTAATCTAAACCTGTCCTCTTTCAGTTTTAATCCACTCCTCCTTGTCTTCTCACTACACGCTCTTGTAAACAGCCTCTTTCCACCTTTCTTTTAGTCTCCCTACCTCAAATCATCATCTTCATTACAGAAATTTTGTAGCTGGAGCAAATCATCTCTTACCATCTACTCCAACAAACCAAGCAGAGCAAAATTCTCAACTTTTCAAGAATCATACGTGTTCAATTATAACTGTTCTTATCAATATTCTTCTAAATTTAAACAGACATTTCTTCTATGCTCTAGGTGCACTACCGCACAAGCAGTCACATCCTTGTTAACAAGCAGGCCACCTCACCTCTCTGCTCCTGGCACATATCCTTTCGATTTGACTTTCACAGGAAGAAGTTAAAATACCTGGGAAGTGTACATCTGAGCTATCTACTGAACCAGAACTAAAAGGTCTAAAAGACATATAATAAAAACCCACAGAACTGTAAGGTACTAAAGAAATGATGCACCAATTACCTCTGAGAGTGACGCATCAACCTTGGAAGGCACTTTCAGATCCAGCCATGGCTGATAGTTTTCCAGAAGCAACGTAGGTCTACAGGAGAGCATGGAAAAGCTTAAGCAACAATAAGTAATTGAAAGTTTCCTACCAAGATGTATAAAATGCCAGCAATACTAAGCTTACCGGTGCCACAGATTTAATTTACCTGTGCCTCTTGCATTTGACCTTGCCACATACAGCACAACTGTGACCGTGGGGAAACAGCTCCGGCAATTCCAACTGCTAAGAGAAGATACTTGGACATGTTTACATTCTTCAAAATGATAACTCTATTAATATATCAACACATTTGTGAATTTCCTTTTAGAGTATATTACTACAGAGAACTGAATAAAACAATGTTGTTCTCCCAGCGGGAAAACAAGATAACAAGGCACAGGAAGAGAAAAAACTGAACCAAACAGAAAAATTGCTTCCACTGAAACAAAGTGTGAGGAAGCAGATATCCTTTCATACCTCATCTCTCCATACATTAGTCAGTCTAATAAACAGACCAGCTGGGTTTTCTGCAAAACTTGCCTTACTCATAGCCTTGAACCACTGCAACCATAACTTTTTAGCCCTATGAAATTCTATGCAAAACCATTTTAAGCTATAAAACAGCAGTTTGGTTTGGGAATGTTTTTCTCTTTGAAATGCAGCACTGGCTCGCCAAAGGCTTCTTTAGAAAACAAAAAGCCCCAGGAAAAGAGCAAACAACTACATAATTTCTCCACTGTCTGCTACTCAAATGCTCAAAATGTATTTATTTACAATTACTCAAAACGTAAAATAAGCAAAGTACTAAACAACATATATAAACACTCCCAACAACTGGTTTTGCAGCCATACCTAGATTTGATGGGGCTATGCAAAAATGTGTGAAGAATCTAAAGTCTTAATCATCACCTATTTTCTATAAAACACCTATCAGGAGGAGGATATAAGCTGTACTGATGTATATTATTTCTGAACGCAGCTAGAATTAGACAAGAATTGCTACCCAATATAAATCCTTATCTTTAACGGCTGCTTAGACATATTTACCTTGGGTTTATATTTTATTGTGAACAGAATATTGGGCAAGAGGGAATCCGGTCCTAAGGAACAGTAGAAGGTGACGACACCAGCCACGAACGACCAGAAGATCATTAAGACGTGAAGATACCTTACAAACACACAGGAAGGAAACATTACTGCACGAGGGGCAGCGCCGCGCCGGGCCCGGCTCCCCCGCCGCGCCCACCCGGTTACCGGTTGAGGAGGAGGGTGGCGGCGCCCAGCCCCAGGAGGAGGCAGCAGGAGAGCGGGTACTGCCGGCAGGTCTCCCGCACCACCTCGGCGCCCCGCAGCCGCCGCCGCAGCCGCCGCCCGGCCGCCCCCAGCCAGCCCATGGCGGCCGTGCCCGCACGGGCCGGGCAGGCGGGGCCGCTTCCGCTGCCGGCGCCCTGTGATGGCGGCGGCGTGACGGGCACACGTCAGCGCGCGCGGCCGCCCCGGCGCGGCTGTGGGGGCGGCGAGAGCGGCGCGACGGCGGAGCCGCTGCCCCGCGGCGGGCCGAGCCCCGCTCCTCTGCGGGGACAGGGGGAGCGCAGGAGCAGCGAGCTCCCGTGTCGGATCCGCGGGAGATCTTGCCAGCAGCCCCCCCGGTGGCATTTGGAGCTCTCCGTCTAACATAGCGTGCCAAGCCCTGTAAATAGGAGATCTCTGATGACGGAAAGCTTACCTAGTTATAAATACTTGGGTTCTGGACGGCAAGGGGCTCCCAGAGCCAAGCGGACAGAAACTGCTGCATCTGATTAAATGCTCTATATTTAGATGATGACTGAACTAAATCGTTCAGTGACTGAGACGCTAAAACCGTATAAACACCTCTCAAAGCTTTATAATTGGTTGTAAAGAAAAGGAATAGGGTAGGGAATGTAACAAGATCCCACCTTAACATCAGTAGTGTACAAGGGTAAGACATTGAAAACAGAGGTCTGGAATGTAGTTTATTGCTAGTGAGAACGATTTAAAGCCGAACCTCACATGAATAATGCCTTCAGTTATACTGCAAGTCACAAGCTTTCGAACCACTTGAGTGCCTTCCAGCAGCTCTGTAGTTACTCAGTCTTATGAAACTCAAGGCCGTGTTAATAGGACACTACTGGTTATGGGGAATACCAGTTCAATAGCCAAAATAAAATGACTTCTGGGAAGTCCTACTGATGAAAGGGCTTCTAAGTGGCAAATATGAAAGATACCTGCTCAGGGAGAGGTGCCTGCTTTTGAGCTCTTCCAAAAAGTTACCGTTGCCTTGTACGTTCATTTGTACTAGCCCCACGCAGGCACATTTGAGCACATTCAGTAAGCAAGAGCACATGGAACACTTCCGTTCAGGAGAATCGTGTTTACAAATTGTCAGCGAGAACTCCAAGGATGCTGTTAAGGAAAAGATGGTATCTGGAAGGTGAGTCAATATATAGAAATCAAAAGCTGAAAACAGCTTTCAGAATCTTTGCTCAGATGTTGTGTCAGGCAACACTTCCCTTGACCTCTCAAGCAGGTGAAATGCTGCAGTTTGACTTCAGTATGTTGACCTTTCTCAGAGAGCTTGGCAAAAGCCCAGAGTCAGCTTGAATTTCTTTAAGAGCCTCTGCAAAGTATTATTTCATGTCAGTCCATGTTTTCTGTTAAAAAAAAACAAGGTGCATTCACCCAGCAGATCTCCATACAAGTCTATTCAGAGTAAATTAATTTTCCTAAGATGCACTTTTCTTGCCACTTGCTTAGTTTATTTTCAGCTTTCCTGCTTGTGATTTTTAGTCACTTATCTTGCATGTTTTTAAAGAGAAATTATACTATTTCATGAAGACAGCACAGCATCCCATAGGAATAGGAACATAGGAAGCGACCTGCACAGCAAACCAGCAGGAGCTTAGGTCAAACTTCTGCTTCCATTTGTATTCTCTACTTCAGGTTAAGTTTCTTTAATTTGTAGCTTCATCGTTGAGGATTATAATTACTCTAAAACTGCCACATTCACATTCGGCAGTAATTGTACATTATTATCTGAGAAGCTGTGGAATTTCCTTCAGTTTACAGACTTTACATCTGCTGGGCAGACGAAACCACCACCTGCTTTACACCGTTCTGCTCTGCTGGAGACAGCAGCATTAGCATTGCCCATCATACTGTCATCACGGCCCCTGGATTGTTCTGGTCCACTGAAAGACACCGCTGACATCTATTTTCCAATGAAATAAAAGTGTAGATGAACAAAAGGGAAATACTGACAATACCAAGCTTTTCAAAATTCTGAGAGAAATAAGAACTTTATCCATTCTTTAGCAATAACAAGTATTTCTCACTTCACATAAATGCTTACAAAGATTCTGTGGTCAACTGGAGAACTGCCAGGGAAAAGCATGCATCTGGAGATGGGCCCTGAAGGAACATGGCCAGGACTGGGTTATTCTGGAAAGATAGATTTTATTTTAGCAGTTAAAATGTAAATGGATCTTTCACTGATCATACAGGTCATCGCATGGAGCCAGTTTTTCCTGTTTTGGGGTTCACAGGGGGAGGGAGGGTTAATGGCAACAGAAGCTTGTATATTCTACCATTCAAAAATATATTAGTATAGATTTTCAACAATTTAAAATATAAACCTACAGTTGTTGGCTAATATAAGTTATAAGGCTGAGATTATTTTATTATTTACCTTCAAAAATGCCATTTTTAAATAAACCAGGCAGTGAACTGTAATAGACAGATTCTCACCAGCTGATTGCATTTAATTTACTCTGCAAGTCTGCTTTTGCTCTTTTCAAGGCATTATATATTTATCTCTTTCAAGGATACAGTTGTCAAGGCTAACTTACAATAGCTAATCCTTCATATTTACCCAACGAGGAATTATTTTTCCATTATAATTATTCCCCACAAGTCCCTGTTCATTTTGTGGGCCCTTTCCAGAAGTTTAAATAGAAGGCTTTATATTAACCTTCAACTTACGCTATTTAGCAGAAAACTTTAGAGAACATTCATTTTTAATATTCAGCAAATAGCTAAGCTTAAACAAAGAAGTGAAACTGAAGTTGGCCAGTCAGATTGCCCGAAAGTTAAGCACTTGGACTTGACTTCTTCAAGTTCAAAACTTAAAGGACACCCATCAACAGTAACTGGTTTCAGACCTGTGCTTGTCAGCTGTATGGAATGTGTGCTGCCCATGGTTGTCGGTAATGGTATTTGCTTCCTGGACCACACATTGACCCTCAGTATGACAAGATTAAAGCAAACTGGGTGAGGAAGTGATAACCTGGGGCCAAAAGCATTTGCTTGATACAGCAACAGGGGGCTTTGGATTCCTGGATAAAATCCCACACAAGCTGTCTTTTAGACGAATGGGGGAGCTCATCTGCTCCAGAGCAGTAAGGAGCTAAACAGCAGGTGGAAGAGAGAAACGGTTTAAGAAAATATGTGCGAAATACTTTTTAAAAGATCACTGCAGGGAATGAATTGCCAAGAGACCTGACACAGACTTCAATATTTTGTTGTTTGTTTAGAAACAGATTCAGCAGGCAATTGAAGCTTAAGGGAAGGGGGCTAAGAAGTTTCAGTTGTAACATGCCACTCAAAATTCATCATTCCTTCCCCCCCCTCCTCCCCCCCGTGAAATACAGGTCAATTAGAAAACCTGAAAATACCTACCAGGCTGCATTTAGGACTGAAACTGACTGATACCGGGCAAAATAAAGACTTGCAGGGGAATAAAAAGACAGGGAGACCGTTCTGATAAAGAAATTCAAGTAAAAGAACCCACTTCAAGTGGACAGTTTCCAGATGGTCAGTTTAGAATGCCCAACAGGAATGATGCTGGGGCAAACCACAGAGGTGCTGAGGAGCAAAGAATGTGTTAGAATTTCACTGGGACAAACAAGATCCATTTGGGAAGAAATAAAAAACAAAAGAAACAGGCAGTGTGCTAGAACCAGTTTTGCCTTGAAAAAATTTTAAATCTCAAGGAGAAAGTAAAAAGTGTCAGAGCAACACTAGTATGGAGAGAGAGCTTTTTTTCATGATTTTTCTGAATAAATTCTAAAAAATTAGACTAAAAGACTAAAAAATTCTCCACTGATCCCCATTCAGCTTGGATATGGTAAACTGCAGACCAAGTACTAAGCTATCACTATAGTGTGGTGTATTGTCTACACCCAGTGTGTTTCTGGGATAGATTACGGTCAAGAAACTTGGAATATCAGTCAGTCTCAATTCTGAAAAGCCCATGTATCTGGTGCCTTCCTGGACCACTGCCCAGCTTTATGCTCCCCTCTGTTTTCCTCTTCAGTTGTTTGTTAGGTCTGTAGAAGTCAAGCCACCTATGCAGTAATGACTCTCTTTCCCTGAAACCCAAGGGCAAAAAGAAAGGACTAAAACTGAAATCATATTATCTGGAGGAACAGTCTTGGAAGTGAGGAGACATAGAGTTAGTACATTTAGTCCAAGGTGCTTTAACTCAAAGCTGCTCACCTGAGTTTCACAAAGAACTTAGAACATGCACCTATCTCCATCAGCTGCTTGTTTTGCATTACTTTTACTGTCAGGTAATTTCCCATTTCCCACTGAGTTTCAGAGATGCTGTTCTCACCATACTCACACCTGCAGTGAAAATGACAACTTTTCCCTACTGAAATCTGTCTATGAAAACAAATGCTTCTGTATATCTTGAGCACCGATGAACAACATACAAAGATTTATCCTCTTTTAACTCAAGAGGTAGAGACCATGCTGGTAAACTAAAATTTCCGAGTATATTCTACCTTACGACGTTCCTTCTTCAGCCTCCTCCTAAATTCTGATCTGATACAGGCTTTTACATTTGATAGCCTTAGAATAAAATTCCTTTTGTTCATTAACAAAGTGTATTTTCTTACATTAAGACATGTAGCCGAACTCAGGTAAACAGAACATCTTCAGACAAAGTTCAGCAACCTTCGTATTGGGTCTTAAGTCTTCATCTCTCAGGGTCCCAGATGTCCGTTTCCAAGCATGTACTGTTAATTTTAAGCAGGTTAGTTTCTGAGCAAAAGATGATCACCTTCAGCGATCATACAGCTGCATGGGCTCCTTCCACCACCAGGTCTTTAATGAATTAAAGTCCTGGCCTAGTCCCAAGAGAAGATCAGCCACTTCTCTCTCTCAGGATGCTGGGTTTGTATTGCATGCCTTTCAAGAACAAATACAACTCTGTACAAGACGCTGGTGTACCTGGGGGCTCTCTGGGCCCATCCTGAATTTGAAATCTGCGAAGGGGCTGCTGAGTTGGCACTGATTCACACCAGCTTTACAAGTGGAACACCTATTCTCATTTTCTGCCCTGCATCAAGTCATTCAAATGAAGACTTTGCATGCAAGCTTTGCTACTAACTCGGCATTCCCTCA